ATAATTAATCAATGAATTTAAGATTTACTATTATATAAAATGCATAGCTTGTAGCAGTAAACTTAGTATTTTCACGTGTTGTTAATATTTAGTAGAATGTCTATTTTATTTCTCAATGAACCACTTTTATTACTTAACCTGTTCAATTAGTTATTCTTAGTTCTGTCTACAATCGATACTCTCACCACAGAATTCCTCAAGAACGGTGCAGATTTATCCCGGGAAGAGGCACAAGTGGCTAGTAATTAAAAAAAAACATACAAAGGGAATATATGAATGGATAGCAATAGTCAACCTAATAGTAGATATAACATAACATCACTGCATCGTTACAGAGGATGAAGAATAGTACCGGAGATGTCATGGAGATGTGTAGGTATTCAGTCGTAAGTTGGGGTAGTGTTTTTCAATACTACCTTCGTTTTTTCCGGTCATTTTTAGATAGCTGTAGAAACTATATAAGTCTTAATGCTCGGTCGATGTTTTCTGATAGATTATACAGTATTATACAAAGTAATATAAACAAAATTAAAATTTGAAAAAAAAAAACGACAGTTTTTGGTTATAGATGAAGAAAAAGAGAAAATAATATTAGTTGTTTTAACAGGAAATATGACTTCTCTTGGATTTTATAACTTTCTTTAACACGTTTTGGCATAGTCATTATTTTTTAATTTTCCATGTCATCATCATTCAGCTTGTAAATTTGACTGCTGTAACTATATATAGGTCTATATTTTATAGTATATAATTCTTTTAGTCATCACCACCACCAATTATCATCCAAGAACATTTTAAACTTATCACAAGTGTCGCATGTATCAACACGGGGTTTTTTGAAACACAACCCTAATTTGTTAAATTCTTGGCTGGTAAAATAGCTTGACGCAGTCCATCTGTTACAACAAAACAATAAACTTTTTCCCATGAAGGCCTGATGATGTTTAAGATTGATTCTCGATCAAATCACTACTTGCTGGTTGTTGATTTTGCTGACCTGAAAATAAAACATCAATAAAAACCAATGTAGGAACAAATATATTTTTACAAAGACTCCTCAAGCTGCCCACTATTTATTTAAAAAAATTTTTAACTCTTACCTTCAACAACAGCCTGAATGCCGGACGATGTTGAAGGTTCATTTTCGATCAAATCACTGCTTGTTGGTTGCTGATTTCGGTTACTTGAAAAATAGGATATAATAAAAACCAATGCAGGAACAAAAATATTCATACGAAAACTCTTCAAATTGCCTACAATTTATTTAAAAAAATGTTTAACACTTACCTTCGACAATAGCTTTTTGATTTAACACCAAATTTACCAGTTTTTTTCCTCTATAAAAATCCATTACGGTGGCTCTTTACAATGAAATATCTATTTTGTTCACTAGCCAATGGCATTTAAAATGTAAAGAGACGTAATAGTTTTAAAAACTCCAAAAACAAGTACGCGCAGACGGAATCAGCCATATTTTAAACGGAACCAGTGCTATTCAGTACCATTTTATCGGGTGTGCATAGACAAATTAACCCGGTTTAATTTATTTACGGCAACTACAGACATATGCACTATTTTATTAGTACTTTGAGTTGAAGAATAGATTAAATTATTTCAAATGTACTAAATTAATAATCTCTAACAATTTAAATTACAGTTCTGTCGTAGCTTGTCACAAATTTCTCAATTCGAGTCTGTTTCCGTCTAAAACATGGCGTTCGCGTGCTGAAAAACTTCAAAAGCGGCATCTGAGAGTGGGCATTCTGATTGTTATTTATTCTGTGGTTTAGGCAAGAGTTTGTGGTCAAAACACATATTTATTTACCCAAATTTACATTTCATTAAAAAAAAACTCCCATGCAACAGATTTGTGCGAACAATGAGCCAAACAAGATTTAAGGTCGATTCAGACACATCAGTCCCGTCATAGTCTCGGCGCCGAACCGGTCCTGTTTAGTCACAGAACTATCACTAGTGTCTAGAGCCTGACACACTATTATGTGCAGACTTGCGCAGTTCAGTTGTATCCACATCTGAATGTGACAATGAGGTTTATGTGTATTGTTGGTTGCATAAGAATAACTCTAAAATTAATAGTAAATAATAGCAAATCAAAATTAAAGGTTTTTTAAAATAGTTTTAAAAAGTATTTTAAAAATATACTTTTCCGCGTTTTTTCCAATAAAAATTTGTTATTTTATATACAGGATGTTGACTGTTAGGTATATTATAAATTTTTTGGATTATGCACAAAATTCCCAGAACATTAATATATTGCATGTTATAGTTTTAATTAACTTATTTTAGGATACAGGCTGGTTAATGAATAGATCACTCTCTGCGTGTCTCCTTATGACTTTAAAAGGTTCTATACCTAATTTCAATAAAGAAAAGTGAGTTCATTTTCGTATCTCAACTTGTTTTTAATAATGTATATAGTACTCTAAGATATGTACCTATGTTCTTTTAAAATAGATATTATATCAAATAAATGAAACCTGCCTATATTTTTATCAGGTGTGAAATGAAATGTACATAAGTAGGTATCTTAAAGGCTATAAAAGTTCATATTGAAGGGATTGTGCCTTTAATACATTGTATAATAAAAACAGTTAAATAAAAGCATGGCAATCTAATATATTGATAAAGTTTTTTGTATTTGATTTAATAACTAAATAATACTGGTAAAAATATACCTGGTATTCCATCTAAAATAATAAAGTTGGCATCAGTATTTACATGACATCACACTCTGTATAACACATTTTTATTGTAAACATATGAGCAACAAAAAATATTAAAAAAAAACACAGTTTTCGAGAAACTATTCATCATTTATTTAATAAATAGATATCATGATACAATAAGTAACAAGATAGGATCTTCCCGTAGCACAAAATCGGTCGTGTTCGCGCATGCCGTCTATGGAGAGTAGAATTTGAATTCTTGTTAAAGTTAAATGGGATTTGTATGCAATCTGTGATGAAATTACTAGACGGAAATAAGTTAAGAGGTTTAATAATTACAATAATCGTACACATAAGGATATCTCCAAACTATTTATTGAAGATTATTTATTGATACATACAAAAAACTGACATTCGAACGTGCAACTCTCCAATGACGTCACGACTTATGCGCAATATCTTAGTCATAGCACAGTATAGTGCTTTAAGCACTATACTGTGGTCAGGCTCTAGACACTAGTGAACTATCAACTATCTGACAGCTGGGAAACTGTTCGTTGCCTGATGAATGGTCCGCAGGAGTGTGACGTCACGACTGTCACATTGTCATTATTACTTTCCAAACAAAAGGTGAAATGTTAAATCTCAAGACTTTTTAATATCGATAAAGTTAATATTTTGCTTCCTCTGCTGCTTTTTCTTGTAAGCATACTATTTTTTACGATAATTCCGAGTTCTATTTCTATGAAATATAGTTTAAAAGTTTAAATTAAAGAAATACTAACCTTACTTTATTGATACATGCATTTTATAGCTATTAGCATAAAACAATGTGCTTTATTATTTACACAACCTTGTAAAATTGTTGTAGTAACTATTAGAATACTTAAATATTGCAAAAAGCGGAAAGATTCTATAAAATAAATGAAAAAATAACTAAAAATACAAATTATCCACACTAAACAAGGTTTGTTTGGAAAGTGAAACTGACAGATGTCAATAAAATCTACGTCATCACTTCTGTGGTCCATTCTGGAACTATTTATAGCAAAGACATAAATCATCTGGATAGGCAACACAAAAATCATCCACATATAACCAAAATTGACCGGTATGATATTCAAAACAATATTCTCTAATTCCGCTACTGATTCGGGCTCTATTTCAAAGTATTGTGTTTTATTTTCGTTTATACATAGTCCCAACTTTTTCAATATTGTTTCCATTTTTTTTAATATTCTTATGAGATCTGATTTTGATCTCGTATTCAATGCAATATCGTCTGCAACAGCGATAACTTTTTGTCTCTTGCGGTTTATTATACCATCTCATGTCATGTCTCCCTATAGATGTACTGTCCTACTATATTTTTGAGTTTGCTTTTGTTTTTTAGCACATTCACTTTGTCCTTCATGTTTTCTATTTGAGCGAGGAACATTTTGTCGCCTATTTTGCTACCTTCTTCCAATTTAATGTTGAGGTGAAGATTTGTTTTCTTAAATTGCTAGTTTATATTTAGTATCTCTCCATCATTAGTTTTCAAATATAAGCCTTTGATAACCATATTTCTCTTACTCCAGCTGTTCGATTCACTGATTTGCCTCAGTAAGTTCATTCTTTAGTTCTAAATTTTTCTATCTATCTTTACATATTTCGCCGCTGATAAGATTAAACTTTTATTTCAGCCAAATTTCTTTTGGGGAATAAGTCTAATGAATATATCTTCATGTTCTTCCCGTGATATATTAAATCCATAGGACTTAATAAGTGAATCTTCTGGGTTAGTACTAGTAGTCTTGAGATTCTTCTTCTAAACGGGCCCTCGAATATATTTTTCTAGGTGTTTTGCGAATTTTAAATTTGTTACATGATTTAATTCTAATCTATCAGCTGGCGTTCGGGTTTTTGTATTCTGATTTTCCTTGTATAAAATCGGTTTATTTGTTTACTAATTAAAGTGGAATTTATTTTTCGATGTCATTATTACTCAGTGTGAAGAACATATTAGATAGTTTCGTGTCTGTTGTGTCCTAGGCTTTTAACTACATAGAAGGATATACAATCTGCACATGAATTGTTCTTTTCAATTTTTTTTTGTATATTAGACAAGAAAAATTAGAGTTTATTGACAGAAGTGAATTCTGAACTATTTTGTAAAATTTATTCCAAACATTTTGTTAAAAAATCTCATTTAGTGACAGTTCTATTTTGGACTAAAGACGAAAGTAGCTTCCACCTAGTCCTGAAGTATTTTATTTAAATAGGATTTTGTTTTTGGGTTAGGGTAGGTTAAAGAAAAACAGCTTTTTTATTAATACATTTTAAATGTTTAGATTTACATAAATACGGATTCTTCACGTTTTAACAGTTACTAGACAAAACTATAATAAATATAAATAACTGTAACCTCGATATTAAGATGTATGGTTATCATATTAGCCACTTAAATCACAAGTTGCAGCTAGACATGTTCATGATATAAGAGATAAATAAACATGTTTAAACCCAATATTGATTCTTTCGTAAAAGAATGCTGCTGTTGGATGGACAAGGCATTGGCTCTGGTACCTCTGGCTCATCAAGTACCTCACTCCAGTCATCCATTTGATCATCTACTCCATATGGATAGAACATATGGGGCGACTCTAGTTCAATTTTAGACAAAGGAGTTACTTTGCAATGAGGCACTATACTTAGAGGTGTAAAATCGGATGAAAAGTCTGATGTAAATTCGGCGGAAACTTCTGGAGTAAAATCTGTTGTAAAAACTGGCGCGAAGTCTGCCGATACATCAGTTGTAAAAGAAATTGGAAATTCGGATGTAAACTCCACTGCGTATTCATCTGGTAACGATTCTCTTAAGGATGGCGATGATGTCATAAGTCTATCAGGTGGACGGGGTAATGGTATAGGTTGAACGCAATGTTCTTCTTTATTTATGTGATTATCTACTGATCGACACTTAATAACCACGATAACTGCTATGCCCAAAATTACTATTCCTACTGCCATGCTCACTAAAAATAAAATATTATTTAAATATTATATACTATTGTCGTTGAACTGTATTATATAGAAGAGGGAATATAATATACAGGATAACAAGAATCACAATACAGTGGAGCAAACACTTAAAAATTAAATTATCACTGGGGAGCTTTGACCATAGAGTCTTCCGCTCGATTTGCCTCCTCATTTGCCACTCACTTAATCAGACATTGACCCATGGCCGTCCTAACTGCATCACTCGATCTGAAACTTGTATTTCATTGGCCACGATTGATGGCCCCTACACTATACACAAGCCTGTAAGCCAAGAATATTGTAAGAATATCTGGCTAGCTCGCGATAGAACGGGCACTAAGAAATGAGCAATGCTTATGCACAGGATCCACACACAATAAAAAGAACTTAGGAGAAAAAGAAAAACAATACAACGAAGGTGTATTCGGTTTTTGGCTACTTTCGTGGCTCCAGCTCATCTTAAGGATTAGAAAGTTCTGTAACACTTAATGCTGAATAGGGCTGTCCCTTGGCCGAGGAACCCTACTTCAACGGTAGCCAAAAAAGCCATCAAGTGAATTCTCCCGTCCAGTGCGTGATAAAGCGTGCGATTGGGGAGGACACCTAGAACACTCATAAACCGGTTATCAAGACACCCTTGCCAGTGAGTTTGCTCGTAAGAATAAAGCAAATAGCACCCTTCCAATAAAATCCCGACCCCTCGATCCCACCTCGCAGGAAGTTCCGCCGTTTACAAAACGAAACCACCTCATTCTGCACAGGTGTCAATCAAATTTGACGACCATTTCACCAAGTCATTTATAATGCACAAGACCATCTGCAAAACGTCACAAACTACGATTTTGTTTGAGAATAATGGGATCTCATCTCCACTACCACCAATAAAAACAATTGAGACGATGAGGCAAACGCGCAGAGAGTCTATTACTAGTCAATCGATTACAAATCCCAAAATCTGCTTGAGGACATCCATTCAATCCCATACTCAAAAAATCAAAACAACTCTTACTCAAAATACCATCAGACACACATTCACCTCTAAATCTGATACTCTAAAGACCAAAACAGCCCCTATTCGAAAATCTAATCTAAAAAACAATCCTCCGCCTCTAAATTTTCATAGAAGAGGATCTACTTCATAGGCCCCAACCTATCTTGGTTAAACTTCAACCAATCTACTAAAGTATACGATCATCATATTCCCACAAATTTGTCACCAGCGCAAATTATATCAAATCATCAAAGCTAAGCACTTCTTAGTCTACCAACCATGAATCTCTTACAGCCTTTTCCCAAAACAGGCGACAAATTTGAATACTTATCACACACTACAAACGTTGAAGAATTCCAACACAAATACATAACATTATCGGTGTTAGAAAGTCTCCATCTTCCCACAGTGGCCGGATACATTGTCCAATCACAATCTAGCTACAACCGGAGTTAACGAAGATACCGAGGTCCACACTTCCATTCGCAAAAGTCGTCCGCATAATAGCCGAATACGACAATCTTTGTAAAAGTTTTTACATACTCCGAAACTAAGTACGCTGAGGCACGCACTCCCGAGAAGTATTATTATCGATAGCGAGACACGTATTCCGGGTTTAAAAAATCAAACAATGCGGTCTCTCTTCGCCTGAAGTACTCGTTGAGATGTACCGAAAGCGGACATCTCACAACAGAATTTCTTCAAAGGACCACAATCTGCTCCAATTATGGTCAACCACACAAACCACACGCATGCGCCACGTCAGGCCACTGGCACCCCTAGACTCCCTACGGGTGCAGCTCGGGCTCTGCCTGTTTTTATCCAAGACTCCAAGGCGAAGTGCAGTTAGTGCGTGTTAGTTACTAGAACAAGGTACTAATTTATTTTAGAAATGTAATAAAAGCATAACCCTACTTTTCTTCCTTTCTTTTCACGTTCACGTATCCAAAATTCTCCCTATAATGATGAGACCAACTTCATGGCGTACCAGTAGATATTCCTCTGATGGCTGTGATGGTGGATCCTCCCACCTTACACCGATCCACAATATCGGTTTTTTTTTCTACTTACTATTCCTAACTCAGTTGTAGGTAGAGAGAAGACAACGACTGCAACCAGATATAGGACATTTTAGAGTGCCCAGTACTTGTGGTAACAAGAGGAGTCTGATCCTCTTTTTTGGACCTACTGGTTTTCCGTATGTCCATGTTCTTTCCTGATGTGTGTCTAACAGACAAAATATGGCCACAGAGGATTTGCAGTGTTCGTTCACAAAAACTAATTTTCAAAAAAGGTGTGATTTGCAAACACGAGATACTAAATACTATCACTTTAAAAATGTGTTGCCTTTTTCCACGTATGGTTAATTGCAGAGCAATTCCACAACTAAAGGCTGAAAACTACAAAGAAACAGCAATAACAAACCAGTAAAAGTATCATCACTAACTTCATCCCAATATCAGACAGAGTAATTTTAATACAGCTGAATGCTAAACCTGTAAATATAAATAGCATCCAAGTTTATGCTCCCACTGCTGACGCAGATGAGCAGAATATTGAAGAATTCTACCATCAAATAGAAGAAGTGCTAAAAATAACAAAGAAACACGAAGCAATAATAATTATGGGTGACTTTAACGCTAAAGTTGGACAGAAGATGACGCAGGGCATCACCGGAAAGTTTGGCTTGGGAGAGAGAAATCAAAGAGGTGAACGGCTAATAGAATTCTGCCAAGAAAATGACTTCGCCATTACAAATACCTGGTTTCAACTTCCAGAAAGGCGTCTTTACACGTGGAAATCCCCTCAAGATGGACATCAAGGCAGAATAGTACGGAATCAAATAGACTACATCCTAATAAACCACCGATTTCGAAACAATATTAAAGATGTAAAAACTTACCCCGGCGCTGACATAAACTCAAATCACAATTTACTCTGCTCCAAAATACAAATTAAATTGAAGAAATTAACAAAGCCAACTAAGCCTTGTAAGATATATCTCGACCCCCTGAAAAACCCTCAAACGCGCGAACACATAACACAGCAAATAAATAGTAAAATACACAGAATATCAAATATACCAAACGAAAACAGAACCATTAACGAATGCTGGTATGCCATTCAAAACTCGATTTTAGAGAACGTACAAGAGTCTTTGAAAACACCTACCATGTTGGCAAAAAATGAGTGGATGACACAAGAAATTCTAGATCTGATGGAAGTTCGACGGCAACACAAAAATAGAAATATTATCGAATATCGTGAAATTAATAAACGCATAAAAAGAAAAATTAAGCAAGCCAAAGAATCCTGGCTTGAGAATTTATGTAAAGAAATAGAAGACCTCCAAAAAAAGCATGACAGCTTCAACCTGCATAAGAAACTTAAATATACTGTCGGAATTAGAAAACAGAAAAATGCTCACATACTTAAAAGCGCGGACGGAAAAATTTGTGATCACGAACAACAGTGCAAAGAATGGGAGAGATACATCACTGACCTTTTTGACGATGCTTCTAGGGAAAATGCTCCAAATACTGCCTATGACAACCAGTTGGACAGAGGTCCCAATATACTGAATTCGGAAGTCGAAAAGGCAATACAGCAAGCCAAAAACAATAAAGCACCTGGACCAGATCAAATCCCTGCCGAACTACTTAAACTTTTGGATGAGGAAAGCATTGCCTGCTTAACCACTTTCTTCAACAAAATTTACAACGAAGGAAAAATACCAGATGATTGGTTAGAGTCACTGTTTATAACATTACCAAAGAAAAGCAGGCCCACCAAATGCAGCGATTTTAGACTAATCAGTTTGATGAGTCACACACTGAAGATACTCTTACGAATTATACAAAACCGAGTATTCCTTCTATGCGAAAGTAAGATGGGTGATAAGCAATTTGGATTTAGAAACGGTCTAGGAACTAGAGAGGCACTATTCTGTATGCGCGTTCTATTACAAAAAAGTTGTGAATTCCGAAAGAATGTTTATGTTTGTTTCATCGACTTCGAGAAGGCGTTCGACAGAGTCCAACACAATACACTTTTCGACTGCCTACGGGCAGCAGGACTTGACCACTATGATATAAGACTGCTGAAATACTTATATTACAATCAAGTAGCCTCTATCCAAATTGGAGACAGTCCCACTGAAAAAATACCCATCAAAGGTGGAGTACGGCAGGGTTGTGTTTTGTCACCCACTCTTTTTAATCTGTACTCTGAAGAAATCTTTAGGGAGGCTTTGGATGACAGACAAGAGGGAGTAAGACTAGGTGGAGAAGTAATCAACAATATTAGATACGCTGACGATACAGCCATTCTTGCAGAAAGTTTACAAGATCTCCAAACATTACTAAATCTAGTCAGTGAAGCAAGTTATCGGAGAGGCCTAAAAATCAACATTTCAAAGACAAAGTGGATGGCAGTTGGAAAGATCCATATAGATCAAGGTCTGCTTTCTCTTAATGGAGAAGAGATAGAAAGGGTAAATCATTTCAAATACCTTGGCAGCTGGTTAAATGTAAATTGTGACTCTGATGAAGAGATAATATCCAGGATCGAAATATCACGTAAGGCTTTTATGACCTGGAAACCAGTTTTATGCAACAGAAACCTGTCAATGAACATTCGTAAAGGTCCTGAAATGTTATGTGTGGTCGATCCTATTGTATGGTTGTGAGACATGGACGTTAAAAAACCACAATGCTAAACAAGTTACAAGCATTCGAAATGTGGTGCTATAGACGAATCCTAAAGATATCGTGGGTTTTGCACACTTCCAATGAAGATGTTCTTCAAATGATCAACTCAGAACGTCTGCTCATAAACATCATGAAGAGGAGAAAAACAGAATACTTCGGCCATATAATTAGAGGACCCAAATACCATTTACTTCGCCTTATAATACAAGGAAAAGTGGAAGGAAAGAGATGGATTTTTCGAAAGAAACTTTCATGGCTGCGTAATATTAGACAATGGTGTGGTTTCACAGTAGAAGAATTATTTCGCGCAGCAGCCGACAGAGAAAGGTTTCAGGAAATTGTAAACATGATGACGGCCAACGTCTGAATACGGACACGGCACCCAAAGAAGAAGAAGAAGAAGAAAAGTATCATAGAGGAAAATATCAAAATAAAAAAGGTAAATAAGAAGGCATAGTCTGGGTAAGTAGCTAAAATATCGAACCACCGAGTCTGTGAAAACTGAGGTCGAATTCGAGAGAAGATTCGCTGTCACACTGACTGCTGATTGGAAATTGACAACGTTTTAACTTCGAGATTTTATTATTCTCTGGGATTTCTCGACGATTCGTGGTATTTCCAGTTCAGGCGGTCAATGCATTGTTGAATTCGAATCAGCACGCTAATTGGTCGGAGACTGTGAGAATCCAATGATAAATTAAGTCTTCCTGATTCAGACGTGTCTTTTATTGGACGTACCTCCCGTATGTGAGATAGACAAAACATAGATAGTTTAAACCTGGAAGACGAGAATTCATTGTGACTCTGGCCGTCATAAAAATGTAGTACATTGTCAAGAAATCAATAAATGTGTAAGAGCATATACTTACCGATTAATAAATAGTCTTTGGTCATATTTGGACTGGCCAAATACAGTCCGCCTTCATGACTGGCAGGATCACTTGGTCCTGGGAGCGTGGAGAAGATGTCATTACCTAAAGGTGACTTGACTACTATTTTCAACTCTCCTACTGCCGGTTGCACTATATTAGCAGCCAATATAAAAACCATTCTATCTAGAAAACTATATTTTGGTACATCAGTTTCCTTTACTACAAAAAATATTAGGCCACTTTGTATGTCCTCGTGAGAAAAGCTTGACACTGCTATGTCAAGAATATTTCTCTTTTCTCCAGAACTTCTTATGATCTTTCTTACTTCACCGTGTTTGGGATGGTTGATAATTGTATAGCGAGGATTACCGTTAGTTAGTTTGGCTAGAGGTGAAGCGTTTAAAGAATTCAGAGTCAATCGAGTTGTCTCTCCAGCTTTTGTGGTCAAATTATGTATGTGCATAAATGGCTTAACTTTAATGACTACTTCTACACAATCTCCGAAAGAATTCCCACCCGAAAAGATTTCTCCATTTACAGAAAAACTATCGTTTGAGACACTCATATCAGTCTGTAGGTACATAATTTTTCCATTTATTAAATCTCCATAAGAAAAATAGGTTAAGTTTGCTTGGTTATCTTTGTAAAGTAAACCATATTTTGGCGGTCTCTTCAAAGAAAACTCGACCTTATTTTTATCAGCATTAGTGTTAATGAAGAACTGTTGTTCAGATAGGATAATATCATAGGATCCTTGCAATAAATTAACGACCATACCTGCTTTTACACTGATATTAATTGGAGAAACTATAACATTAAACAAATTAAACTGTGGTCTAAATTTTCCATCCCAAATTCTAAACGGAAACGAGTCTTTTAAAGAGCTTCCATTATGGACATAGTACAGTTTGTTGTTATCAATATCAGCTTGTGTGAATGAAGTTACTGATATATTCTCTAGTACCAGTTTTCCGTGGGATGGTCCCGAGATGACATCATATTTAAGTTTTTCCGGCGGGGTATCAGCATCTTCTGTTGCTAAATCATGTCTTGTTATAGTGCGATTTTCTCCCTGTACTACTACCAGGCTTGGAGCGGGTGTTACCAGTACAAAGGGTTGGTCGTTTACGGGGTTTACTATTATAGGAACTGTTACATTACATAAAGTAATTGGCCCTGGAATCAGATACAACGAAAAGTATATATTGTCCCCCAACGTGTCAGAATGATCATGCTCGTAGTAAACCTGACCGGACTCTAGTTGCAGCTGCGTAAACGTTGTCACATTTCGATTCTGTTGAGAGTACACTTGGCCGTGCTGAGGAGGTAGAGCAGATGCATGGATTATAGGAGAACGAAGTCCTGCGTGACTTTCTAGAAAGGTCACTACCCCGGACATATTTAACGGTATTGTTATTGTACCTCCTTCATCTACATACAGTTTTGGTATATTCATATAAGCGTCAAGTCCACCAGACGATACAGAAATATCAATTCTAAATATCTGAAACAAAATATAATAATAAATTAATGAACTTATAAATGCCTGAATATAAATGAGAATAGAATCTGACACCTGGCGTCGTCTTTATAACTTTGGACTACAGAATAAGTCAAAGATAAAAACACTGCAATTAATAGTAGATAGTAGTAAAATATAGTATTATACAGGGTGTTTCACAAAAAGGTAACCCCGTCTCTAGGGTAGGTAAAAAACTGAAAAATAATTGGGGTTTGGTTAGTAAAAAATGTTTGTAACGTCATCCGTTTTCCAGATACAGGGCGTTGAAGAAAAAACAATTTTACGCATTTTTTACGATTTTGCCGAAACTACTGGCAACATTGTAATGAAATTTTATACGAATATGTTTTGGAAGCTGATACATCCCATGAATTTTGAAGATTTGTGGCTCGCCAACAAAGATGCAACCGACGTAGCCCGATACTGAGCCGAAATTTTATGAATGACATGTCCACACATGATAAAGTAAAGGAAGTGTATCGATATTACGACACCAGGTCAAGGCTGCCAGGTCTAGGGATTTATCCCGAATCTAGGGATATTTCAGTATAAAAGGGACAAAGGGATTTTTTTGATATTTATTATAAAATCTAGGGATTTTTGACCAGCTCAAATATTTACCTACATAGGCCTATTATAATAATATTTTCTTTAATTCAGGTGTAAAACCACTTCGTATGACCGGTATTAAAGAAGCGATCTCTCATTTCATTACAAATAATTAAACTACTAGTAAACTACTTAAGGATTCTATTATCAGATGTCGCTAAATGTCCTCGTTCTTGGAATTTTTATTTTATGCTACCAAATAGATTTCTGCCAAAAATAGATTCCTATATATTATCATAAAGGAGAAGCAAATTCTGGAGCAAGAATTAGGGGTTTTACAAAAATCTTAGATTTTATAAAATAATTAGGGGATTTACAGTAGGAATCGGGTGAATCCCAGGATTCGTGGAAATATATCAATAAAATTCTATGCTTCACCGTCTAATTTCTCTTCAAGTGGTATTTTGTATTAATTTTATTACGTGAATTATACTTAATAATATATTAAATGGAATATTCAAAGCCATAAATAAGTACGTTATTCCATTTTTGTTAAATTTATTTAAATCACCGCTATTGTATCGTTTAAAAATGTAATGATTTTGAAATAAAGGTATAAAACAACAATTATTTTTTTAGATTGAGTTTATCGAAAGTACAAGCTGAATATAGTCGCAAATGTCAAAAATATTTCGGCTTGGTAGTGTTTTTATGTTTTTATAATGCATAATATATTGTATGTTTCAAATATAAAGAGATAAAGCTTTTAAAAAGTACATTTTGATTATACCGTTAAGCACGATAAGCAGTAACGTGTAGATATTTGTCTCTTTCGAGATTAATTGCAAACATCTGTTGTAATCTGGCAACTGCTGATTTGATGATTGCCAAATCTATCCCCTAATCTACCAAAGGGTAATTACTAAAAAAATTATAATAATTAACTGCAATTAATCTCCAAAGAAACAAATATTTACTCATTGTTGTTTTATATAAACCAAAAATTGCAGAATGCACAACATAATATAAACAAAATGTACTTTTCTAAAGCTTTATATTTTTGTTCCATGTTTAACATTTGCGGCTATAACCAGCTTGTACTTTCGGTAAACTCAACCTTTTTTATATCCATGTTATTATATTAGGCAACCACCAATACATCCCATCATTTTATTCAGAATTAGGCAACCATATATACATTTATTCCAATCTAGGGATTTCTAGGGATATTTTAATGTTCAATTTAGGGAGGACAAAAATTTTCAACTGGCAACCCTGCACCAGGTGAGTTTGGATCCACAGTCCGAAGAACTTGTGGTAGCCAGTTAATTTTAAATTTATTATTTATTCTATATAGTAATATTACCATTTTAGAATGATATAAAAGTGAATGATACATAATCCAGGAACGGTAATAAGCGTTGATTTATGGTTAAATCGATAAAAAGCTCCACCCGTTACTCCGAAAGAATAGCGACTCTTCTTTAAGACTTCTACTATCGGAGGTTGGAAATAAATGTCCAACATTACTAAGAAGAGCACAGAATAATAAGTATTTTGACGCAGTGATTGAAAACCTCGAGTAACCAGACGAATATGGTTAAACACGTGGAATATGTTTATCGCTTTCATTAAAGAAACTGTTGTAAAAACTTACCTGATTCAATAATTTTGGAGCCAAGTGAGTCCTGACATTGAACACAAAAGAATCATTAGCATATAAATCAGAAAACTGATGAGTGTGTTCGTAAAATACTTTGCTGGTATTTAAATCTTCCTGTGAAAATGTTGATATGACTTGAAATATTCCCGGTTTTTCTGACTCCATCATAAGCCTCCCTAAGCTTGGGGCTTTAACAACATCATATTCAATTTTTCTGTAAGGATCTGAGACGACAGTAACTAAATGCTTTGATGTTAAGAATTTTTTCTGTAAAGGAAATATAGGAAGAGGGTTGTTTATCAGTTTCATTTCAACAGGTTTTGTTTTAATGTGGAAAATACAATCTTTCGTTGTGTGTAGGCCATCTGTGACGTTAAATTTGAACCTTGCACCTGTGCCATCTGAAACAAGATTATCGTTAATATCGCAGCTTAATTAACAAACCATGGCCCCGTAACTGAAGGCCAGAATATTGAAATTTGGCAACAGTGAATAGAGAGCCTGTAAACTATCTGTTCATGTTTATATATAAATTGTGGCTTATTTTACTCTTTTTACTTACTTTCAGTGTAACATAACGGTCTACATCCAGCGGTTTATTATTTAAGGTAATATAGTATACTACATACATTTATATTAAATAAATCTACTATTATGTTTCCCGCTAACGTCTTAATGCATTCTCATTCAAGAACACAGGAATAATTAGAACACAGGATTAATATCGTGGCGTAAACTCGGTAATATAACTAGGCAACTCAAATTTGTGATTTTTAGTTATCTAAGTTAAAAGGTAGTTTTTACTGCAATGCTATAAGTCGACAAGAGGAATATCCCTCTTAAATACAACGATGAAACTTTTCACGAGTATTCTTAAGAACAAATTGGAAAGGCAAATCAAGTCTTCTATTTCTTGGCATTTTCCAGCGAAATAAGTCTCTTTAGCTTCTCTTATTTTCCTTCTTATTTGATTACGCAGCTGTTGATACTGAGTTATGTTGATACTCTTTTACCTTCCTCTGTCCTCCATCAGTTCCAATATTTCTTCTGTTATCCAATCTCCTTTCTTGCATCTGCAGATGCAAAATAGTACGTTTTAACCACACATTATTATTATAAGATGAAACAAGTTGCATATTACCAACAACTTCAAAACTAACTCTATGTCGTAATTCTGAAGCCCCAAACACAAGTATTAGCTTAGAAACATTATTATCAACTTTAAATTCAAATATAAAAACATTAAAAAATAAATTTCTTAAAAATGATGAGGACAAAAAAATTTAAATATCAAATCTGCAGATTTATTTTTTTTTATTTATGGCTGGATAAAATAAAGACGACCATGAACAAACAGAGTGTATTTCATGAGAGACCTAATAGCATGGACGTATAAACACAGATGGACTCAGTTATTTACATAAAATTGTGTAGTCAAAATTATTTGAATAGGTCACATTCTCAGCACCTTCAACTGTTGTCACGTTTTGTTTTAAAATTTCTTATTCGCGAGTCGCTGAAAATATTGCTCCGTATTTTATACTCTACAGGTGCTATCAAACCAAAATAATAATTTATTGGTTAGATTAATATATTTAATTGTAATCAAAATATCAAGTGTGCACATAGTGTGCATTATCATTTAATAATAGCGTATAATAATAGATATCAATCAATTACTTTATATGTAGAAGCACTGAAAATTATTTATAAATGGCAACGGTTGTTTACATTTCTGGATTATGGATCTACGTCAACTTCAAATGCTGTTCAATGTTTGGTTACTTTTTACAGTAGATGAGGAAATGTTGTTTTTCGATATTTTGGCTGTATTTTGAGTTATATTTGTGAAAAGTGAAATAAAATAAACGAAATATTTACAGTACAGGAACTGATTCAGTTGATTGGATCACAAGAAAACTTCGAGTTGGAATTAATAGTTTTTTTTAATAACTACTCTGTGGTATTAACTTCCTACTCAGAAGCAATTATTTCACTTTATCTATTGTTGCAGTTTCGCAACTATATATAAACATTTATAAATGTATTAACAGACTTTTTGATAGTTTCTATTCTCCTCGTATATTTTAAGTAGGATTTGCGTGTAAGTGGCACAGCGGTTTTATGGGCTAAAAATTGCAAGGTGGGCCATCTGCGAAATATCACCATAGGGGATGCATTTCATACTAAGGATGTGTAGTTCACCATCGAAATAGTTCAAATGAACGATTCTTTCGACTGAACTAATTGAACTAGTTCATTAATTTTCATAGAACTAGTTCACTGCGAACGATTTGTATTATAAATTGTGTCTCAACTTCTAAAGAAGAAAATAATGAATAAATGAATGAGAACATATATTTATTATTTTGTGAATGGATGGACTAACTGGTTTAAAAAAAATGCCGATTAGCCTCAGATAATAGATTCATAATTCTTATAAATGTGACAATAACATAAAGTCTTATCTTAATGTCATAATGGTTCGGATCTTATGCCCATGTATTGGCTTGGATGTTGCCATGCTGTGTTGTTTCTTGTATTGCAATCTTGAAATAAAAATTTTAGTTGTGGTTAAAATGATTACATAAAATATAATTTTATGTAAAAGTGAGAAAGAAAATGTGTTATTTAATGTTCCTAGAAAATTCACTGATTTTTTTTGTAAAGGTTCTTTTTGAACTAACCTAATTATAAATACCTATGAGTTTAAATCTACTTAAATATAAAAATAAATCATACGTGAACCATATTTATATTTAAAACGGTTAATAAAAAACAAATTTTAATATTTTTTTGCAAATAAAAACTAACTAATCATATTAATAATTTAAACCATTTAAACCTAAACATACGATCGAAAGAAATAGTTCCGAACTACTTGTACGGTAGTGAACTAGTGAAAGAGAAAGACTGACTGAAAACCGGAGAAAACGGACGGCCGGCGCCGAGCTTGTGTGATGATTGAGACATCTGGCAATCAGTTATGTTAGGGTTGGATTTCGATTTCGGTCCTACAAATAGTTTTTTCGCGAACTAGTTCACTGAACTAGTTCATTTTTGTGAAATAGTTGTCTTGAACTAGTTCGTCTAAAAGAACTAATAAGCACACCTCTATTTCATACACAATGAGAGTCGAGTTTCGACTTCGAAACGACCCACCCGTGGTTTGGTGTGAGGGTTGTGCATTCTACTACTCAACTTCGCTTGAGCCTTGTAAAAAAGGCGAGTTTTTGGATTCCTGAATTTTCACCGGACCAGAGGGTTCGCAATCCCATCGTTGCTGGAATCATTTCATTCAGGATGACCCCAATTGTTATATTGAGGTCATCATATGTGCATAACGCAACATCTATTCCAAAGAATTAAAATAAATGGCAATATCGATTATGTACACTGTAAGCCATTATGTATCCTTAGTTTGAATGTTGTAAAGAAAATGTTTAATATAAGATAGAGAGGACACTTCTGTTAATATTTTGTTCATACAATATTTTAACACGTTGTTTAGAATACTTACTATAATGTCTGAATACTATTAAGCGTTGATCGATCATATCCTGAGTAAAAGTATTCAGTTGAGCTGTTATATTTGATATTAGAGAAACTATTCCAAACCAGCACGTCTGAACTTGAAACTTCAAAATTTCCTTGGGCTTATCATCATCAACAGCAGCTAAAAATCAAAATTTAATAAACAAGAAATAAGGGACACAAAAGTGAATAACCCAAATAGCTGTTATTCTCTAGAAATGTTTTTCCAAGTTATTGATATTTTAGAGCAATTATTAAAATAAGTTCAAAAGAGTATGTAAGTACTCATTTGAAAAACTTACTTTTACTATTTGAAAAACAATGAAATTACTTACACACATGCAAAGTTACCTACCTAGCATTTCATTGGTAATATATGCAAAACCTCCTTCCCACATAGTTAACCCTGTATTATTGACTATTCTGGGCTTTTGATCATTAACTGGAAAAATAATAATATTTAAAGTAATCGGTACACTAGTTTTCTTCATCTCCGTTTCCCCAACAACTATTAATTGATCCCTGGTACTCTCGGTGCCGTCGTGTAGATACTGAACTGCACCCGCCTGTATATCTTTGACAGAAAAGCTTTTTGATGTTATGCATCGTTTGTGTACTTGTATACAGCCATGTTCAACATTTCCTTTAATGGAATATGAGGTAACTTTCGACTTATAGTAATCAGTCAATACAAATAGTTGGGCAGAAGATAAAATACCGATTCCACCTTCATTAACAATAAGATCACTAGTACCTAAAAACAGTCTTTCTGGAATTATCTCTATATTAAACTGAAAATTACTATTCCAAACAACTCCATTAGTTATATTAAATATAATTTTATCTTTGGTTTGGTTCGTTGTAGATTGGACATATAATATTTTATTTTCATTCACTAAGTCTTGAGTAAAAGTTAAGATATTAACGGACTCTTCAGCGTTTTTAACGTCTGACAGAATAGTTATATAGCCGTACTCCGGCATTTGGACAATATAATAAGTAATTACGGAAGGTGGAACATTTCGCTGAGTTACCTAAAATAAAAATTAATCAAAACTGATCTGACGACGAACAACTGGTACTTACTTCTAAAAACTTCTTCGTAATCAGCACACTTGTAGATTCTTCCACGGAAATCTTATTCAGTGTTTTTATTTCTAAGGGTTCCCAATAATTTGAGGGTAGTATCCAAATACCTAGTTGGGCGATATTAACTGCATCTTTGCATGTAACTTTCATACCAACTTCATCTGCATTTACCCCCAAATGTTCATTCAAATAGCTTACATAGCCCTTATTTATATCATCTTGTGTAAAATTTTTTACCACCTGTAAAGCAAATACAAAAATAAATTAAAATTTCGATTAACACATTATACACTACTGATAACAACCTAGGAATAACTAAGTACAATATGTAAAATCTGGAAAATATGATCTAGCAGTTAAATTAAAACTAAAGAAGGGTTATGAGTCATAAGTTTGTCAGTTGTCATCCAACCCTCTTTGACAGTCTTTATTTTTCTCTTAATTTCCGTATTTATACTCGTTAAAGTGTCAGAATTGGTGTTGCAAAATTAGATGAAAAAACAGCACTTTATTTTTACACCCTGTAGGTATATAAGTAAAACGTTGACATTTCTAAAAAAACATTAATATAGTCATTAATAAGAAATATACCTACAATGTGAAAAATAAATCATAAAAATCCAATTAAGGTTTTTATTAATATTAATAAAACTTACCTTAAGCGTTTTGGATAAAACTATCTTTCCAAAGATAGGCTTGTTAATAATTTCATATATTACATCTTTATCAAAAGCGTATAAATTCGTTGCATAGGACAGGTGCTCACTAGTTATTGCTACTATTCTTCCTTGCTCCACAATGATTTTCTTCTTCATATTGACGTGTATAAATGGAGCAGAGGCTTGAACTTCTAGGGCACCGTTCAGATGGAATTGGCCATCTGTCACCCATAGTCTTACCTTTCCAAACTCAGGGCCTTTATGTTTAAAAATAATTCTGTTATTATCTAAATCGTCCTGCGAGAACTCTACAACTCTTGTGCTTATATTTGCAATATTATAAAAATATCCATTAGAAGATTCTCTACAGGTGTATATTATTTGGGACTGAGGAGTATCTAGATCTGCATCTACGTATTTTAGATCCTTTCCAGTGAGTATTTTTTCTCCCCCTACCACAACATGAAAGACCTTATCTACAGTTCTTACAGGGCTGTTGTCATTTTTCAAGAGTATTTTTATATTCAACTGTCCTACATATTGAAAAATTTCTCCTTTTGACGATAACGCCATGAAAGTAAATGAGTCTGTTCTAGTTTCTGAATTGTCGTGAACATAGTAAATAGAACCGCTGTTAATATCGTCAGTAGTAAAAACATTTGTGCCATTGATCCTGAAATCTTTGTCTATCTTCTGCAAAAACCCATGCTTTGGCTTTTCAGTGATATTGAACGTTATACTACTCAAAAAATCAGCTTGAAATGATAAATGTGAGTCATCTACTACTACTGAAGATCCTTCATCTACTTCCAAGTTATTCAAATTTACAGTCAGTTTGGTAAGGTTATCCTTAGATGGAGTATAAATTATTGTCAAGTTTGCTGTAACATTGTTACATCCAGAAGATATAGCAACGAACGTGAAGCCATCTTTAACTTCGGAATAAGGTTTTTGATATAATTTATATCTTACATTATGAGAAATAATGTCTTCTTGGGTAAAGACATCACAAGACTTTAACTTATATTTCGATTCTGCTGAAAACAAATATCCATATCTAGGTGGTTCGGCAATGACGTAATGAATGGACGTTAACGGTTTTGTCGGCTTGGTCTCAAACAGTATGTCATTCGTCGACACTTGCTTTTCCCATTCACCCTTCAGGAGCATAGTTTTTAACTTTGATTTTTGTAAGCTGCACCTTGCAAAAATTATGCGAAAGGTGTAGATGACAGTCTTATCCATTGTAACAAACTGAAAACACAAAATCAAAATATTAATTATATCTATACTCTGGCAAATAATAAGTTAAATTAGTCATCCCAAAATCACGCGCCGTATGTGGTGAAATGTAGAAATCACTTGATCATCATGAATTCTCGAAAATTTTAAATTTTAAAATGTTTTCTTGCTGGTCACTTTATATTGTAATAGTATTATATTTATACTTATAATAATAATACATTCGACCTGTGGGAGTTTTTGTCAGTTATTCTATAAGGCGCGGCCCCCTGCGAATGAGGGATGCTCGATGGGTATTCTTAAAACCGATACCCAGATGGTAGCAGGGATACCTGCCGCGGAACAAAAACTGGCACCTGGCAGTAGGTATAAAATGCACACACGTGAAAATAGAGTTTCATAATTTATGTTTAGGGTCGCTGCCTGGGGATCGCCAGAGGACACCTTTGGAGCCGGCGCTGGACGTGACAGCATTTGGGACGTTGGTGGCAGGGTGTTGAGGAGGTGGGCCCCTGTCATACATCAGCTACAGCCCAACAACAAGAAGAACCACAAATGAGCCAAACAACAACAAGAGCTCCACTCGCTGAAGGTGCTGCGCTGGAACCTCAGCCGGCGCTCACTCAAGCGAGACGGCCGAGGCAGCGTATGAAATGGACTGTGTCCATAAACGAAAATATTTTACGCTTTTATTATAAGGTGACAAACCTCGGTCAAGAAACGATCGGCTATCGACAACAACTATATGCCGAATTTTGCAAGGTGTGCCCAGAAATCCAAGTATCTGAACAAAGAGTAGCAGACCAATACCGGTAATTTTAAGAAACAATGTTATCCCAGAGACTAGACGCGACATTATCAGAAGAGAAATCGAACGGGAGAACCATAACCAAGAGCAAGTTGCAGACCAAGTCCCTAATGAAATCTCTAATGAGCAGATTCCTGAGCTTCTCATAAAAGAAACTCAACCTAATAATAGGCAGCAGGACGATAACGAGTTGCAAGAGTCTGGTAAGCGAGATGGCACACTCCGTACAAGAGTTTAGTGGAACAAACCGACTTAGCAGACCACTGTTACAAATTGTGAATACTTCCTACCCAATTATTTCACAAAAGCCCACACATTGCAATATTTGCATATGCTGATTTACTGTGCAGTAACAGCAATTGTTAATGTTATGGGCATTAAGATCAGAACACGACGGGGTACCAACATCGGAAGGACTGGTAACAGAATAGCACCCTGGGAAAAACGACTGCTGAGGAAGATTTAATTACTGCGTAGGGACATTGGACAAATAACAGAATATATAAGAGGAGTAAGAAGTATAAAAATCATTAAAAGACCAGAAGAAATATTGTTAACACTCTAAAACACTCCGACATTATCCAGAAAACAACACACCTCAACAATGCCAGGACACATTAAAACAAAAACTATCTGTTTACTCAGGCCGCCTAAGATACAAAGTTAGTAACAACCGGAAATGCGACAATATACTTTTTGAGCAAGCAGAGTAGGCTTTCTATAGGAAACTTAGTTCCATTGTAGAAAATGTAAATAAATCTCACCCAAGCCAAGAAGAAATTCATGAGTTTTGGATAAACCAACTTTCGACGCCAGCTACTCATAACAACCAAGCTGGATGGATTGAAGAAACGACGAACAACTGTCAACACTACAGTAATATTCCCTATAAACCTTTCACCGCTGAAGAAGTCTCGAACATTATCAAAGAGCTTCATAACTGGAAATCTCCTGGACCAGACGGAGTTCAAAACTTCTGGCTAAAGAAGTTTTGGAGTGTTCACATGAGCTTTTAACAATATTTATTAATATTATTTCTAATTCACAAGAAATACCACCAATTCTTACTCAGAGAACCACTTATCTAATACCGAAGGATCAAAATAACACCCAAGATCCAGACAAGTATCGCAGAATTATTTGTCTTCCAACTTTGTACAAATTGGTCACATCCTGTGTGGTCCGGCGTATCTACCAACACTTTGCTCTGAAAAATATCATAGAGCCTTAACAGAAAGGATGCGCTAAGGGCTCCATGGGCTGCAAAGAACAACTTATTATCGACTCAGTCATTTCTAACCAGGAATACACCAAAAAAGAAACCTTTTTACTGCCTTCATTAACTACAAGAAGGCTTTTGATTCAGTGTCGCATGAATGGCTTATAGATATATTGAAAATATATAAAGTCGATGATCATCTCGTGACCTTTTTGAAGTATATAATGGCAGAGTGGAAGACTAAAATTCACCTTCAAATACCTGGAGAAATTAATATCGAAACTGAAGATATCCCTATTAACCGGGGCCTTTTCCAGGGGGACTCGTTGAGTCCACTTTGATTCTGCCTAGCGATGAACCCACTATCTCAGCTGCTGAACTCCACTGACTCAGGATTTAGCATAAAAAACAACAACACTGTTGTGGCGAAGCTCAATCATCTGTTGTATATGTATAAGTGGTCAAAAACTGATATAGAGGGTCTTTAGCGGCAAGTAAGAACACTTCTCACAAAGGCGCAAAAACATCATCCACGCAGTGCAGTAGAGAGAACAACATTACTGCGGTATCAAGGAGGAGAGGACTTATGGATATAGGTGAGCAATTGGATAAACAAATTGCTAATTTAAGAACTTATTTTCAGGTACAGGCTGAGACATCTACTTTACATCGAGCAATTTGCACAGTAGATGATACGACGCCGCTTAAACTAAGGGAACAAGAAATGCGCATAAACCACCTGACTCAGCAAGAGAAAATGCGCATCTGGATGAGTACACCTCTGCATGGGCGACATCTCAATGAGATCAGCCAAGAATATGTCGACAATGCAGCGTCGAACTATTGGTTGACATCAGGAAAGATGTTTCCCGAGACTGAGGGTTTCCTACTTGCCATTCAGGATCAAATTATTCCAGCTAAAAATTACCTGAAATATATTGTTAAAGATCCTCAAGTTCAAAATGACAAATGCCGATATGGATGCCAAGCCGAAGAAACCATACATTTTACCGGTTGCTGCCAGGTATTTGTCGGTACTGATTATAAAGAACGCCATGACTCAGTAGGAAAGATTATCCACCAAAAACTAGCTGACAAACTGGGACTTCTCCAAACCGACCATCTTCCTTATTATCAATACCTAACAGAATGCTTGAAAATGACAACTACAAGCTATACTGGGACCGCACTGTGCTTACAGACCAACCAGTGGCTCATAATAGACCGGATCTCATACTAGTTAATAAACTTACTAGGCAAACAACACTTATTGATGTGGCGATACCCAACACCAATAATTTACGTGTCAAATACAACGAAAAGATCGTCAAGTACACAGATCTAGAAATACAAATCAGGAGAGAATGGAGAATGGAAAGTACCCAGACAGTACCTATTATTCTATCTACTACTTATTTCCATAAACCTCCTAGAGGATACATAAGTGTCTGCAGTACGACCGGTATAGAACAGACAGCTTCAAGAAAATTAAAAAAAACTGATACATGTCAAAATATTTATATTGATTAATGTTTTAATATATATATAAAACTCTAATCATGTGAGGAAAAGTAATTAACTTACCTGAAATTCATCAAAATCCGGATTGGCATTAGTATGTCTATAACGCACTCTGTGCTGCTTCAAATCATTTCCAGTAAAATAATCAGAATGTTCCCAAGAGTTGCCAGTTTTCTCTACTTCTACAACACCATACGCCGGTTTTCTAACAATGCTGAAGTATTTTAAATAATCTGGAATAGCTACATTTGAAGTGAAACTCAAATTATACGGAGTTATAACAGATACACTTTGGTGCAGTACAATTAAACCAGTATTCCGCTCCATTCTCCAATATTGAGGCGAAATAGCCACCCTTAATCGGTATACAGGGCTAATTTCAAGGCCGTCAGAAACTTGCATGCTTATATACGATGTGTTTTTGTCTGAACTTTTATCATAAAATAATATCAAGCCTCCATTCACTTCTTCTTGGGTAAAAGAAATTATTTTTGTACCTGGGTTATTAACATTTTCAAAATAACCATCTTCGCATTTCAAAATAGAATAAATCAACTGATCTGGTGTATTATCTGAATCTATAACTTTGAATATGTCTGAAGATAAAAACTTTTTTGTTCCCTATAAAATAAACAATGTTAGACATCATTCTAGTTAGCATCAAATCAAATGAGGTTTTTTTGACTTACCTGTATGTGTTAATATGCAATTCATGCCACAAAAGATCTAGAGAACACATTCATTAACAAACTAAAAATAATTAATAAAATGAAAAATATTAATCAAAATCTATTAATAAAATCAGTGTTTTGGATTAAATTAAAAAAGCTTCTAAAATTAACTAACGTCGATTTTTTAAAGATTGATAGCTTAAATTTAATCTAAATCGGTAGATTTAAAAAAACTTTACAAATTCCTAAAAGTATTTATCATCTTGTTGGACAGTTGCCTGAACATTAAAATCATAACAAGCCTAAAGTACCTTTCCAAGTGGACATCTGCCATCGAGAGGGATGAGGAAAAGGAAACACACAACCCGAATTCCAGAAGGGTTGGATTATGTAGAAATATACAGTAGTGGTGAAAATGCAAATAATTCTATTCCACTGGATGAATATACCTCTGTACCTCAAGCGGTGATTTATGCAATCTTCATTATGCGAGAGAAATTAAAATAAAGACTTTTGAAATTCTGCAGATCAAATTTGCACAGATAGTCAAATCACTCTAGGGAGCCCTAAGGCAGTCTTTAGGCTAGTGTGAGAACATCGAGTAGAACTCAATAGAGCGGCAGAACATAGTGTCACACGGTGCTAGATTATTCGGGAAAACACAGTTGATGAACTTATTAGAAGATCAGCTATAAAATATATTGGTTAAGATCCACAAAACAGACCATTTGTAAGACAATGTAGATAAGAAATATTTTGTGTAAATTTGCCAAAAAGTGACCATAGCACTGCAAGCAGTTTATTGATGCTGCAGTAAAACTGTGTTGGAATGTCATACCGTGAGTTAGCTTGAGCATTTAGAATTCGATATGAAACTCAATATGTAACAATTCTTTATCCAATTTCATTCAAGCTTTCAGGGATATTGGAGAAAAAAAATAGGAATGAGAAATATAAAATTCAGGACTTCAATATCGCAATAGATGTAAATATTACAGCTATGCTCTAAATCAGTAGCCAACTCACTATTTTTCAGGTAAATAATAATACTAGAGAAGATGATGAAGACAATCCAAAATCACAATGTAATAGTGAGAATAAAAACACAAGCATTAAGGTAATTTGTTCAATAGCAGAAAATGAAATGAATGAACATCAAGTCCATCAGCAAAACTGCTTTAAAAACAAAAAATTCTATAACTGAGCATACAATGGATAAGCGATCAATCTTTAAAAAATTGGCTATAACGTTATATAGAGAAAAACATAATTCTACCATATATCAAACAAAACTTTTGAAAAACCTGTTTTGTATATGTACTAAAAAGATCGCACTTAAAAAAGGGCGCAATTTTGATAGAAATCTCAGGGAATCTCTATCTAGAGTACGAAAATGTTAGTATATGTTTATATCAAGTTGAAAATTTTTTAAAATGTAGTCTTCGATTTAAATTATGCTTATTATTTATTTGGCTTTTCTTCAAGGTTGTTAATCCAACTTTTTTGCCTTTGTTACACACCAGATTAACTTCTCTTACTTGGATAGATATCTTGATTCCATTCCTGTTTTATGTGTAAAACTCAGTGATTAATGCTCCACCTTGTAGCATGTTTTTCTAACATACACACTTCTCTTTAATCTTTGTTATCTTATTTCAATTCTCATCAGTACTCATTTGCGCTGTTAATTCCTTCTATTGATGAATTACCGACTAAACCAAATGCCTTTTCTGTATAGTATATCAGGCATTATGTTATGTTATTATCAGTCACTTATGGTCAAATTGACAGAACAAACAAAGAAACAAATATCAATTTCAGTTATCTGCTAAATTTAAAAAACCATAATTATTTAATAAATAAACTTAAATATAATATTGAAAAATAAAGTATAATTGTCTGATACACCAACATACATTAAAATAACAAGCTTCAATTTTTTGTTACCCGGCACTCCTTTAAATATTTGTTGTTGAACTTCACATCGTTGTGACTGATCTTAAAATAAACGTCATCTCCTACTCATTTGGGTTATTTTTTTCTTGGATAATAGCAATTGGTATTAACTAAGATACAACGACAAAAATGTGTGACATAAAACTATACCCTGAGCACGATTGTGGCAATTTAGTTATAAGACAGTCTAGATTTTTTAAAGGAATGTTGCTCCTACGTGACTATTAAAGAAATATGGTTCCTTTCTAAGAAGAGACAAATATCCACTAAAGCAACTTTCTCAGATTCTTGAGAGGTGAAATATTGAATACTTAAATTACATAGTAATAAATGGTGTACACAATGCTGTTTCAAAGAAATTACTATGTACAAGTTTTTGTCTTGACAGAAAACCCCAATTGGTTTCGCAAAAATCCTCTTCCATCAAAATAATGCATCTGCTCACAACAGACACTCAAAATTACACAAATTAGGAAACCAATTGATTGGCTAACTACCAGATTTACCCCCACATGACTATTTCTCACTATTAAACCTAAAAGAAAGCTTGTAGGACAGTTGGCGAAAGGCATTTAGTGTTTTGTAAAGCAAGAATGCTATGAAGTAGGAACTTATACTATTTTGAGAAGCTTAAACAAAATTAGGTTTAGAAGAAATAAAAACAGATGGTAAAGATTCCTGTAAGAGTAAAAGCGAAAAAGAAACTGTTGAAAAATAATCATGTTATGTTTATTTCAAACCACCCTCATATTTATGAGATAATTAACAATGCTATTACTAATAACTTTTCTTGTATCAAACATTTTTCTATCCCAAGTTAGGGAGTGCAGCTAAAAGACTTGAATGTCTGAATCAAGTCTGAATAAATTTAACAACACATCAATTTATAACTAGCCTGAAAGAGATAGTAGCTTTAAACAGTTAAAAAACAATAAATTACTAATTAAACATCATTAAAAGGCATGCAAAAATGACACAGGAATTAGTACCATTCCAAAATAATCATGCTTTGAATGACTAGTAAAGCGAATGAAAATACCTGAACTGTCCTTAAAACTGTGGCATCAGCAATGTCCAAGACTGGAGGATCATTTGTTGGAGTAACAACCACAGAGAAATTAAATCTAAATCTACCCTGTAAATATTCAGGCAGGGTAAAGGAATCAGATGTAGTAAACATAACTTCCATTATTAAATGATCATGTTTTTCTTCTGATCCATCATGAATATAATGTACTTTATCTCTAACAAGATCATGAAAGGTAAACCAATTTTTATCATGTGGCCAAATATCAAGTGTTATGCTTCCATGTTCAGGGCCTCCAATAACAAAAAAGGTTATACCTGAATCAGTAATTCCATATTTATGATAATCCAAGATCATGTGTAAATTATTGGTTGTCAAAAGTTCACTCTGTCCTTCTAACACTTGCAAAGGTTCAACTGACAATAATTCTAGATCTGTTGCTAGACTGCTTTCAGAGAAAACTTTGTACCCTTCACTGTAATTCAGATTGACACAAAATTCTTCTTTGCACTGGCAGTGAAATGAATCTAAACCCTGCTGAACGCAAACACCATTATTGCTGCAAGGATTTTGCAGACATGGATAATGCCAAAGGCACCCAGGCATGATTCCTTCTGTTACTTGAGCATCTGGAATGCCTTTTTTAACATCAGAGATAGTGAGGTATCTTAGACAACCTTTAAAGCTGGTGTCACAGGAATCACTACAACCTTTTTGAGTAGCACGGAACCTTTTACTGTTCTCTAAACCACCTATAAAGGAAGTGTCTGCCATTTGAAAAATACTACCATGAATATTCTTCTCACTGAATACTGTTTCATCAATAGTTAGCTCTACAATTGTTGGTAGCATCTGGACAGATATTTTATGCCATTCGCCATCAGATACTTTTATATTTTTACTAGATAATTTAGTAGTCTTTTCATTAATTTTAATAATACTAATTATTGATTCATTGCTCAGTTCTATTAATAAAAAATCTTGTTTAATTTTTTTGCCAGTATTGTAAAAGAGTAGTCCGTTCATCTTTGTAGTTTTTACTTCAAAATTAATATTCAGTGCTTTTTTATTAGTAATTTTATCTGAGATTAACACATAAGAATCATCTTCAATAAAACTGATAGGTTGATCTACACTTGCATCAAATTCAGCTGCACAGTTCCAAGTGATTCCCTGGACAATGGACTCTGATTGTCTATACCGTGCTTGATCTAATACCAAGATTCCATTATATTTTAGCTAAATAAAAAAAACCCCATATTAAATATTGTCATTATATTTATTTCTGTTTGAAAACACTGCGTTTTTTATTTTTTTAACATTTATGAAAATGGAATGAAGGTCAATACTCACCTCAGATATACAACCTCTGAATTTTTCCAAATGTCCAAAAAATATATCAGTATTGTTTCGGTTTTTGTTATCACCAATGAACAGACCATAGTGAATGTTAAGCTCAAAGAATTTACCTGGTAAATGTTTTCTGAAATGGAAAACACAACTGAGCATACAATTTAAACTGAGTAAATTAAAAAAAGGAAGATGTTGTCTTGCTAGATATAAAACAAATTATAATCAATTTAATTACACATCTTTTGGTAAATCAACAGCCAATTGACAGGGTAAACAGCTCCACATATCTTGGTACTAAGATAAACAGTCAATGGGACCACTCTACTAAAATAAAACAAAGCATAGGGAAATCAAGATCAGTGTTCATAAAGATGAAGTCTCTTTTCAAAAGTAACGATTAGTACCAAAATCTCTATCATCAGATGCTATGTATTTTCTACATTATTATATGGAGTAGAGCCATGGATAATCTCTGAAGCTTCTTTACGAAAGCTCAAGGCCTACAAGATGTGGTGTTACAATCACATCTTACAAATTTCATGGGTAGATTGTGTGACTAATATTGAGGTCCTAGGTATAATAGGCAAGGAATGTAAGATCACTAACATAATCAAAGAGTGCAAATTAGAATATCTTGGCAATGTTATTTGGAAAGAGAGGCAAGGTATTTGGAAAGAGAGGACCAGGGAGAAGAATATGTTGGCTTCAAATCCTAAGGAAGTGGTTCAATACGTCTACAACCAGCCTATTCCTAATAGCTGCAAGTAAAGTTCAGATAGCTATGCTGATTGCGAACATCCAGAAGGGATAGGCACCATAAGAAGAAAAAGATAATCAATTTTGTGCAGAAAAGATGTCCAGACGAAAGATTTTAATAAATTATTTACTATTAAATAACTCAGAAACATGAAAAATATAACTATATTATAAGAATGTCACTTAATAAATCCAGTAATGTAAACACATAATACAAATAAATAGTGATACAATCAAGCACATTTTGCTTAAAGAAATACTAGATTCAAAATTATTATTACTTACTGTACTTTATGGGACTTATCAATGATTAATGTTAAATTGGCATCTCTTCTTTCTATAGAAACCTCATGCCATTTGAGATCATTTAATTTAAGGTTTCCTGGAGAAACAACTTCAGCTTCTCCAGAACCCAAATTTATATTAACTTTAATTCTTCCCTTTTCTAATTGAACAATGCAATAATCAGTATTTCCAGCTACTAAAAAAATTAGAGCGCTAGACAGATGGGTCTTGAATTTAAAATTAATATCTGTAGAGCTTCTTGCTTCTTTGAATGGAAGAGCTATGAAGCTGTTGCCATAAAAAGATGCTAAAATGAAAAATTTTCATTAATTAGATATATTGACCTAAGAAATTATCACACCAAGAAAATACATAAAGAAATATGCTATTTGGCTAAATATAAATAGTCAACTATGACTTATAATTTTCATGTTTATAGAAAAATGATTACAACACCATCCTAGATATTAACAAATGTGGAATCTTCTTTATAAGCTAGAGTAGTACTTTTAAATTAAATTTCTACATTTGGATTAAATATTTATGCAGACTTATTTCAAAATGGGTCAATTAAAACATAAAAACTACTAATAAAGTATTATAAATTATTACTATTACTAAAAAAATAAATGAAGGTGTTGTATGTCTCTTTTGACCATATCAAATAAACAGAAAGAAAATCTACATGTGTAGATCTAATATTTAAAATTATAACATCAATTAAAAGTAAAATGAGAATTTCTAAAATCGACTATTGGTGCGTTAATTTCTTTTTATAGTTGTTATTAAGGATGTTACAAATGAAAATTACCTTGGTCCACACACCGACATTTTAAAAAACAAAAATAAAGGAAACACAAAATCAAGGCTTTATTCTTCATTATTATTAAACATACTAAAGATTTGTGTGTATCAGCAAAGGATTAAGGTCATCTTTGGTGGATATTTTTCACCATGTTATTGAACTTGGATCCAAAATTTATGTTACAGAAATATATGCAAAATATTTATTATACAAAGAAAACACTACACTTCTCACAGCTCTATAAATGTAAACTGTAAGTTAAAATAAAAACTGAGACTGTCATACGACATGTCAGCTGTAATGTCGAATCATAAAACGTCAAACTATCTGCCACATTATAGTGATTTTTCGATGTTGCTTTTAATTCTAATAAGACCGAATTTTCTGTAATTTCCAAATTATTTTATAATTTTAGTATGTATATGAATTATATATCAAAATGAGATCTAGTTTATATCTTGTACAACTATGTTTAACATTACAAGATGCTTTATTTGAAAATTACTTATTAAGAAAAATTTACACAAAATATAATTTTGTGTGACGTCACTTCTCAATGGGGTATAATATATAAATAAATGTGATTTAAAAGGGGAATGAATATTAAGCTGTTTTAACAGAAGTATATCCCTTCCTTTATTCCTAAAATGAACATTGAATAATGATAATGAATACACTTTCACAAAAGTGTATTTTCTATAGTTTCTTTACATACAAGCTTCTTGTCTCCTTTCCACTATCTTCTATTTGTGATTTTATTTTCACTTCTAGGTACTTTCCTTTTAGATCCTTTTGTATAGCGTCATTGCAATATTTAATTAAAACAAGCTAGGATCTACCACTTGCTTTATGCATCTCTTCCTAGGCGAGCATCATATGTTGCTTTTTCTAAAATTTCTCAATCCATATCTGGAGTCAAAGGATGATTTTTTTTAAGAGACACAAGCATTAGAAAATCTCTAAGGAAAGATAGAAGAAAAAGAATGTTAAAAAAGAATTGATAGGTACTAAAGACTAAAATGATATAGATAATAACCAATTACTTTATTCTAGTAAGGCAAAGAAAAAAAATCACAGGAAAAAAATACAATCGAGAAAAATCGGACAACGAAATTTTGAAACAAAAAATAATGGACAGAGAAAACAAAAAACGATAAAATTCAAAACAAATTATGACAAAGATTAAAAAATTGGACACAACCTTAATAAATCGTATTAAATTTTAAATAATTTCATTTTATAATATTTTTGCATTAATAAGGTTGAAATCGTGCAAGAAAAGAAAAAATCTTGATGAACTTTTTGTATTATTTCTGTGTACAATTGGTAAATCAGTCGATAAAAATAGACTGCACTACAAATCTATTTTTAAAAAAGGAATCGAGCCGATGGGATATAAATATATTATTTGAACTCCAACATGGCCGATTCTAATACCAATAAAAGCGATTGCAGTTTCTTTCAGAAATACTGTGAACATGCAATAGGACAGCTATCGGAAAATTTGTTAGAGCAATTTGGACAAACTAAAGATGAAAATTCTAGAATTAAGTTGCTTTACGAAGTAGCAACAAACATACCTATAACGATAAATGAACTGAATGGCAAAAACTACGAGCTTTCCCAATCCGAAAAGTCTAAAGGAAATGTATATTTTTCAAAAAAGGATTATTATAATGCGTTAAAATGTTACAATGATGGCATTATAAAGTGTCCTCAAAATTCAGGTACCGCTATTTAGTATTACAGTATTTAATGTTCTTATGCCGTATGTTGTGTATTCATAAATATTTTATATAAAAAATTTCATAAAATTTAGCATCCATATACCTAATAAGCTTTGATAGGCGGCATCCTTTCGGTTAGGGTGTTTATTTCAGTCCTAATTACCTCTATATTTTTTATACGGCGCGCACTATATGTTTTTTTACTTCAAAAGGTAAATGGCTTTAAACGTGTTTTAAAATAGATAGGTTCGTTAAACTTCGGTCCGTTTACCTATAGACTAGGCGGGATCTGTAGAAATTCAGACCATAATGGACATTTTCCATAGGAAGCTATTTTTTTGCTGGAATCCCTTCAAGATGTGATAATCACGATATGCGCCAGTCGCAAACCCTGTGCTAAATTTTTTATTTAACGAAATCTGAAAACAATTGAAAATTTCTCATTTTTTTGCCTATTTTCGTTTATAATTCGGAAAATATTGATCCTAGAGAAAAAATTATAACAAGTTAAAAGTTTCGATATTCAATTTTACATAATATTTTGTTAGCTAGAAATTGTAAATTTAATGTTTATTGTTGAAAAATAGCAATAATTGGAAACAAAAGTACAAAAAAAATGAAGTTAATCCTTTAAATGTTTTCGACTTTCTAAACTTGACTTACAAGCTCCATATTCCACCTAGAAAAACTTTTTAATATGTTTAAAAACGTGTGCTAAATTTTGTTAAGATCGGTCGGATATGTTTTGCATAATAATTTTACAATCCAGCCTAATGGAAAAAAATCGCAAATTTTCAAATTTATAGTAAGCCCTAAATAAGGCCCTCAGATAGATGCAATTTTTTTTATATATAAAGTAAGGCTCAATAACTTTCAAACGCTTTTTGTAAAATTCAAATCGGTTCACTAGGAGAGCCTAGAAATTTTTTTAAAGTTTTAAACATTTTTTAGGCTTATAAACAAATTGAATAACTTTACGAGCTTATACATATCAATTTCAAAATTTATACACTTAAAGAACATTAAAAGGCGCTTCTTTAAAAAAAGACACATTCGGCTTACTGGTTTCCCAGATATTGAAGGTCAAAGTATACAGTGTGTAAAAGCCAAATGGAATAAATTCATTATTTAGGTTACTGTACATATTTATAAAAAAATCCGAAACACCTCAAATTTAAATTATAACTTGACATTCTTTAACGTGAAAATGCAACCCCTACCTTCTACCCCTTTAGAATGACAGGTACAACCCCCAATTTTTAAAATAGGAAGTATAGGCTTGTGATATATAGTTTGAAAGGTCTTTTCATTCTCCATTCAAAAATGTTGTCGCTTTCAAATTTATTAAGATTAATTAAGATAAAATAAATTAAAATCATGTCGCTACCGAAATTCGCTAAAATATACTCAAAATTTATTTCCCGTTTAGGTCTTGATAATGAGAAAGTGAACAAAAACCATAGCAATGTGGTTTTTAGATGATAACCATTAAAAAACTTTAAAGAATTTCCGTGGCAACGTTATTTTAACACGCATTAGTAAATTATTTTATTTAAGTTGTCAGTATTTTAATTTAAGTAAAAAGTTCGTTCAATTAATTCTGAAAAATGGTTAGATTAACGGAAATGCATAAAATAACAGTTTTACAAATGATTGGTTACGGAGATAATACCCGAACACAACAGGAAGTAACTCGCCTATTTCATGAGAAATTTCCTAATTTACCGCCTATATCTCAAGGAACAATAAGTAAAATAGAGAAGCAGTTTAGCGAGTTTGGTCATGTAAGGCAGATAAAAAAAGCAGCTGCCAATGCACTGAGTTATGAACTTAAATTAGATGTGTTGCTTGAGTTTCAGGAAAATCCACATACATCGAGTAGACAGGCATCCACTACATTCAATGCTAGCCATACATCGATAGTAAACGTATTAAAAGAAAATAAATTGCATCCCTATAAGATGATACCTACTCAGGAGCTCATGGAAGACGATTTTGATAGGAGATCTTTTTTTTGTGAGCAAATGATGGATAAACGGATGTTGGATAACAATATTATCCAATTAGAAGACGTTATGTTTTCTGATGAGTGTACTGTTTCACTTAACGGTCATGCTAATTGGCAAAATTGCCACTACTGGGCCACGGAAAATCCTCACTAGATGAGAGAAGAACACACTTAATACCCTCAAAAGGTTAATGTTTGGGCAGGGATTGTGGGAAACAATATCATTGGTCCCTTTTTCATTGAGGGCAACTTGAATGGCAACAATTATTTGGCACTACTTCAAAAGATGTCATTACAACGTTGGCAAATTTATATCCTGATCCAGGAAACCCTCAAGTTCCAGCGAATACGATATGGTTTCAATAGGATGGAGCACCACCACATTACCAACTTAATGTCCGGCAGTATCTCGATACAATATTTCTCAATCGGTGGATAGGGAGGCGAGGATTGATTGAATGGCCAGCGCGATCACCTGATTTTACATTATTAGATTTCTTTTTATGGGGATATGTGAAGAGCCATGTGTACAAAACTAAACCTTCTGATTTAAATGACTTAAAAGAACGAATAACGCTTACGATTAGGTCGATCACGCATGTTATGTTAAATAATGTTAGAAGACAGTTTTATTTGATATTAGGATGTTGCCAAGACGTTCGCGGTGAACATTTTGACATCTACTTCATTAACATTCATAGTTCTTTTTCGTGTTCTACATTTTATTACGTTTTGCATTACATTTTAGTTTTTGATTGTATTGCAGCGAATTTCGGTAACCACATGATTTTAATTTATTTTATCTTAATTAATCTTAATAAACTTGAAAGCGACAACATTTTTGAATGGATAATGAAAAGACCTTTCAAACGATATATCACAAGCCTATACTTCCTATTTTAAAAATTGGGGGTTGTACCTGTCATTCTAAGGGGGTTGAAGCTAGGAGTTGCATTTTCACGTTAAAGTTTACTAACTATAACTAACTATAACGAATTACTAAATAATAATTGTTGCTAATTTACGGTGTACCCCAATACTGAATTAATAAACAATAATGTCAAACTGTCAGTTTCTGACAAATCAATCATGGCCAACTCACAATAATTATTGGTAAACGTTAAAATACCTACCAAATTAATACTTTGATGGAAAAAATAAAAATATCTAGAAAACTAATAACTTTATAGTTATAGGGAGTACTTCATAAAATTTGAAGTACGATATTAGTAAATACTTTTCGATAGTGATATAAAATACAGGGTGTTCTATTTAAAATTACCAAGAAAATAATGTACTTGCATTTTGACTTACCCTGTATTTTATTAAACGAATATTATAAAAACGAATATGTTTTTTAATTTTTAACAATTGTTAAAAAACTATTTTTGCAACAGATCAATGTTCCTATACTTACTCCTTTTTAATTATACAGGGAGTTAAACTTGATACGATTTTCAGGAAACATTGGTTATAACTTTTTAAATACTTGGTATAACATAATAAAACTTTACATTGTTGTGATGTGGAAGTGAAGCAGATTTCAAATTTAAAATAAAATACAGGGTGTTCCATTAAAAAAAAAACAGAAGTTTGGTCTGCCACCATCTTATGGAACACCCTATAAGATTATAACTAATTTTAAAATATGGAGTTTAAAGCTGCCTACAATTTTTGTCAATACCTTTTGTTGTAATTTTTACTATAACAGATCTACTGAGTTTCCTCGCACTAATCAATCACCTTGTATACAGCAAATAGCATGAATAATAATAGGCTTATTTATCTTTTCAGGTGAATCTCAAGAGTTGTTATCGCTCCTTATATCTAATAGAAGTGCTACATATTTTGAATTGAAAGAATATAGACAAGTATTAAACGATATAGACTACTTGCTAGAAATTGGAAGCTATCCATTAAATTTAACATACAAAATATGGATTAGAAAAGCAAAATGTTATAGTGCTCTGCAGAATGAAAAATTAGCTGCTGAATCATACGAGGAAGCTCTCAAAAGTCTCCAATTTAGCAACCTTGATAAGGAAGCTATTGAGACACAAGAAAAGAAGATCGCTACAGCTAGAGAAACAAAAATTGAATTTTTCCCAAAGCAGGAATTAGTTGTTGAAGAAGATCCTGACATATTTCAAGGGGGTAAAGAGTATATTGCAGCATCCACAAATGTAAAGTTTGAACAAGACCCTTATCTAGGAAGATACGCTGTTGCCAGTGATAATATAAAAACGGGAAGTATTGTTGTTGAAGAAAATGCACATTGCGCGGTTGTTGATGCAAAACATGCTCTCACAAACTGCCAAAACTGTGTTTCGGCTGTAGTTCAACTGGTAGCTTGTCCTACTTGTGCTAATGTAGTCTTCTGTAGTACCACTTGTGAAAGATTAGCAAATAAATCTTTCCACAAAACAGAATGCCCCATTTTAGGATCTTTGTATCTGTCTGGAGCTTCAATAAATTGCTGTTTAGCTTTAAGAATTCTTAGCCAAAGATATTTTTCTTACTTTAATGATAAGAAAAACAAGCTAAAAGATTATTTAATCGACAACAGCGAGAAAAATATTATTAAAAAGAAGATTTACCGATATGACGATTACGATAACGTATTTTTCTTGTGTAGAAATGATCATTTACGAAAAAATGAAGAAATGCTTCGTTTCTCCTATATGGCAATATATCTTTTAAGGCTGTTAAAGTTTGGAAAATATTTTCCCTTTGAAACCAGCGATAGTGTTTTGAAAGAAGAAGAAATTTATTTCGGTAGCCTTATTCTTAGACACTTACAGCTCCTGCAGTTTAATGCCCATGAAGTTTCTGAGCTCAAAAATGTTGAAAACCCAATTTCGACCTCAAGAATTGCAGATATTAGGGCATACGAAAATACTACCATTGGAGCTGCTCTGTATCCAACTTTAGCTCTGTTTAACCATTCTTGTGATCCTAGTATAATCAGGTAATTATATGTTTGAATTAGGGAAACTCGGGGTGGAATGGGGTACCGGGGCAGAATGGGAAACCGACGTGATATTATCTACAAACGACATAGACGCGCGAATATCACACAAAACGCTTAGTTCGTCACGTCGAGTCGTATGAAGAAGTCGTTGTCAGTCTGAGAGTACGCATGGTTGGAGTTTTATCGGAGATCAAAGAAGAAACCTGTAAGTTCTAATTTTTTTCGTTGTGTCGCTAAGGTAATTATACTGTTTACTATTCTTTTTTTCGAAATTAACTTTACATGTTTGTTTCAATATACTTTTAGTTCTCTAAAACTAGTAATGACTTGCGTCCAATAAACATAACCTATTATACCACCAATGTTTCTGAGAACGGTTGTCTGGGGCACAATGGGTGGGTATACCTCATTCCGCCCCCGATTATATTTAGTATTGATAAAATTTTTCTTCTTGTATTTTCTCGTTTGAAATTCTCGTATTGATTATATTTTTTATTGATCGCAGATGGTACGTAACTAGAAAACCACCCGGCAGTCGCGGTGTACCGATGTTATAAAACAAGCTGTAGATGCGGTTATCAGTGGACAAATGGAATATGTCTAATCGGTTTGGTGTCCCATCATCAACGCTGGAGCGATAGGTTCAGAAAAGACGGGAGAATCCAGACGCTGTCGTTAATAAAACGTCAGGAAAGTACAACACGCCGACTAGTATACCAGCTAGCAGAAAAGAATAACTGCAAGCATAACTTCAATAGAACATCGGAAATGGCAGGAGAAGACTGGTGTAAATGTTTTCAATGGGATTCAAGAGAGTAGCAGTATCGAATTTTTTTAATCTGCTTAATGAAATTCTGGACAAGCACGAATTAGATGTCACTAGAATTTTTAACTGTGATGAAACGGGTATTAGCGTGGTTCTCAAGCAGTTTTCGAAAATAATAGCTATTAGAGGACAACGTCAAGTAGGTGTCTTAAGTTCTGCTAAAAGAGGCACCACTGTCAGAGCCGAAATATGTTGCTCAGCTGCCGGATATTACATGCCCCCAATGTTAATATTTCCGCTAAAAAAGAAACAACGTGAACTTGAAAGAGGTCTCCCACCAGGAGGCTGGGCTGAAGTTAGCGACTCTGGTTGGAAAACTGCAGAGATTTTCGTAAAATGGTTACAGTTTATTTTGTTTTCTAAAGCGACGAAAGGTCACCCAGTTCTGTTACTTCTTGACGGGCATACGTCATACACAAAGAACTTGGCCGCAATAGATCGAACACGTGACAATTGTGTGTTAATATTGTGCTTTCCTCTTCATGAAGCCTCGAGCTTGTATTATAACTTATCAACTATAACTAGTTGATAATCCTGTCAAAAATAATCCATCCGTACCGGCAATTGACGAAAATCTTCCCCCACCAGTGAATGTACCTAAATCCGGATGTTCTTGGATGCCGATTCATCTGTTGGTACTAATGACGACACACATTTTTCAGTCACGTCGCCAAGAGATTTAACTCCGTTGCCAAAAGTTAAAGCCGGAACAAAAAGAGCTGTAGAAAATCGTGGAAAGACTGCTGTCCTTACCGCCTCACCTTATAAGGTTGAACTGGTAGAAACTGACTGATAGTTTCCAGCTGTTCTCCGTGTGTAGAGGTTTTACTCTCCGGCTCTGGAACTCACTTCAACCATGTATGTTACTGAAGTCATATTTAATTTAATACTGAACATCACAGTTTTTTAACAACATGATGTATAATCTCTTACAACTATATGTAATTTAAAGGGTTTTTACCCATGTATTTTGGGTGGCTCCGGCATTTTTAACCTAGCAAATTTAAAATTTAAACCTGATGATGGACTGTTCAGTCCGAAAACGTTTGTTTTTTTATGTAGCCCTTTTAAGGGTTTTTAAATAAATATACCCACTTACGAAAGACTAACCTCTTTTTTGTGATACGTGGTATAGAGCCAGCTACAGGAATTGTTTTCCTTGTGAATATTGTAAATTAATTTGTGATGCTGTACTCGATCGAAGGCCTTTTCATATTCAAATAAATACAGCAAAAAACGTCTTTCCTTTGATCTCGACATTTCTGTAGTAATACATTTAGTGCAAAGAGGGCCGTCCCGAGTTCCCAGTCCATTTCTGAAGCCAAATTGTGTTTCATCCTGATCTTCTTCACATTTATCTCTGATTCTACTGTGGATGATGCGTAGAAATATTTTCCAAAGTGTGGATCATAAGGCTTTTGATTCTATAATCGCCACAGTTTTTCGGACGTTGTTTTTTTGGTAGTTTTATGAATCGGACTTTAACCAATCTTCAGGGATATCACCAGTCACACACCATTACCCGTGGTAAAATCATGTTCTACCAGAGGAATCGATAGGCCTAACCATCATCGAATGAAGGTACTTATGGACAGCAATAAGAATACCACCACCACGAGTCTTTGAACTAGTTTGAGTGTCCCTGTCATGTCTATACACATTCTTCTTCTTAGACCGCCGTCTCCTTACGGAGGTTGGCAATCATAATGGCCATTTATTATTTTAGAACTTGCTGCTCTAAACAAATCAATCGATCTGCATTGATACCAATAACGTAGATTCTTTAACCATAAGTTCTGCCTTCGGCCAAACAGATCTTCTTCCTTGAATCTTTCCCTGTAATATGAGTCTCAACATTTTCATAGTTTGGACCCCTCATCACGTGGCTTAGGTATTCCAGTTTTCTGATTGACACATTAAAGTCACTCAATTTCAATTCAGCATCTAAGCTGATATTGCTTCAGCAACATTCTGAAAATATAAGCTCAATGATAGTTTTTTGAATTATTGGATTTACTGACCATGACTTTGGGTAGTATTTGTCTTACGAGTGTTTGCCTGTTAGTTGAAAAAGCCGAGTCGGAATTTGAAACTCAAGAATGACTTAAAGCAACTTACTTGTATATACTTAATCATTTACAGCCTTGAAATCAACAAATATGTATTGGGTGTCGACGTTTGACATTCTGGGGTTGTGTCAAACATTTACCACACTGTAAGGGTTCGATCTTTTGTTGATTTGTTCGGTCGGAAGTCGCTCTGTATACCCCACTATTTGTTACGCGTAAAGGAGCATTCTTCTGTAAGGCACATGACAGAATTTTTATGGCATATTGAGTAAATTGATGTTTCTTTAGTTATCTACCATAATGTAATAAAAAGATACCATTCCTCCCAAAATTTGTGATAACAATGCTGATTAAGACTGCACCATATAATATTACCACACTTTTCTTTATTCTCATTTTACCAATTTTTTATACTCTTTTTTATTTATAGGTATAACGTAAAAAGTAAAATAGTTGTTAGAACAATAAAACCAATTAAAGCTTGGGATATAATCTACGAAAACTATGGCCCTCTGTACATGTCTATGCAAGTTAAGGAACGACAAGAAGCTTTAGAAAGGCTTTACCGCTTTAAATGCTTGTGTACGCCTTGCACACAATTGTGGCCCACATTTGCAGAGATGAAAGAATCCGAATTAAGAATACCTTGTAAAACTGAAGGGTGCCCTTTTGTATTTACTCTGAAAGGAGATGCTGAACCTTTTTTTACTTGCAACTATTGCCATAGTACACACTGGTGTATTGCCCAATTTAAAGGGTTTTAATGGTAAGTAATATATATATATATATATATATATATATATATATATATATATATATATAATATCGTCCCCTTAATACTACAATTAGGTAACTCAAAATTTGCTATTTTTCAGGAGAGCAGTTTTAAATTTGAAAAGAAACAAACCGTGCTGTATTACAGTAAATGAATTTTTTTCTTACTATTTATAAACAAGAAGTTGAAATAAATCTAACTTCTGATTAATTGTAAGCGTTCTAAAGCCTTGTTTTAGTTTTTTTTGTTGTTGAAAATCAAGATATCTAGTTGTAGCAATTAAAATTTTTAAAAAAATTAAATATACCTAGTTGTCGACGTAACAATAAGTACAACTTTTTAATACCAAAAAAGAAATTTATTAACATATTTTGATCAAAATATAACAAAAAAAGTAGAAGAACTTAACTAATAATTATAGCCAATATTTTTCTTTCACTCGGTCTCACTTATGTCAGATATCACTTGATACTTCTCTTCCTGTTGCTTTAAAAGGCAGGTTTTCAAAATAATCCTTATTTTCCAGAGGAATTGCGGGAGGTTTGGTATTAAACAATGTCAATAGATCCTTGTATTTTTCAGACTAATAGGGATTCTGTCCTTATACAAAGGATATGGCATTATTGTAGTTATATTTTGAGTCGATTTTGTCCTTCTCTGGCAATTTTAAAGTTCTAAATTCTTCGTTAAAGTTTTCTTTAAATTTCATAATGGATGGTTCACATTTAGAAAAGAACATCAACACATTTTCTGCCATGCTACTTGCTGCCCACTTTCGTCTTACTCTGAAAATTAACAATTTTATCCGCATGATTTTTCCAATCCAATATTTGTTCGTGAGTAATGTTATGAATGATGTACGGTTTATCTCCTTTTCTCGGGCACATCTAGCAATTGTTTTCATCTTGTGGTAAATGTGTTTTGCCTACTCTTTTGAACTCTGTTGAAATGGCTGAGAGCATGGAGTCGCACTCCATTTCACTATGGCCGGAAACTAGAAAGTTTAGTTCAATGCTTTCCAAATGTGGAATATGTTGAACAGCTGTTAAGCACATACTAGCGACGTTTTTTATTATAAATTTTGTCCACCGCATCTATCACTAAAACACTGAACCTGAGTTACTTGTTCCGGCAAAGATTCAAAGTATTGGTATAAACAAGTGGCAATCTCACAGCTGCTCGTTTCCTTCAACCTCGGTCCACATGAAGCAATCACCCTGTTTAGACACTGTATTATAAATGGTGAAGTTAAATACTTTTAGTCTTTGTTTGTAAAATAAGCGTTATTTGTTGGGTCATTTGGTACCAAAAGAACTTGTTGAAGATCAAAATTGCAACTTATGAGTGTACCGTTAGAATTTTCTGCTAACTGTCTACTTAATCTCTTTTCATCACGGGCTCTGTTCTTGGCTGCTATGTGAGTGAGATATTCGGTTTCCATAGATGCTTTATCGCTTAAGGGGGAGTTGTAGGCCATACAAACCCGGCACGGTCTTTACGAGGTCGGTAAAAGCCAAGATTATATTCCTCTGAAAATACCTTTCTATAAATGGCAGAGTTAGCTGGTGTTTGATTGTTTCTCACCGCATTCTTTCTTGTATAATGAATACATAATGGTGATGTTAAGGTCTGAGGATAAATATTTCCGTTGTGTTTTTGAACGGCAATAATGTGAACTGACTACAGGGAACTTCTCAATATGGTTTTTTACACTTGCTAGGATAGCAGGTGACGTGATCTTTTTTGTATGTTTTCCCCGATTGTCTACCAAAGTCGTGTTTTCTTCAGTTCTCTTTTCATAGCTATGTCTACAATTCCTTTTCGAATTCCAGGGTATTGATAAACATGGTTTTACAAACCTGGATTCTATTCGAATTTTTAGGTAAATAGAATAAAATGGTTTTTTGACGTCTGGACTGTTCTGCAGTATGCCATTTTTTATCTTTTCTTTTCTGTATGGCCATTAATAAAGTCTCGTTTTCTTTCATAGGATTCTAACTGGTAATATCTTCGAAAAATCGACAATCTCTCTTCATAGGAAAATTTTTCTGTGCATTTTCGTTTACAGGTAGCTAAACAAGCATCCTTCATGACTACTCCTGGTACGTATTTACCCCTAGAAGATAAGTATGCTTCGCCGCGTTGTTTTCTTGATTTTGCAATATTCTTTTCCAGTTTTGTTCATTTCTTTTCCTCTTTCTTGACTTATCTGTCGTAACAGGCAACTCTTCCATGTCATGCAAGTCGTTGTTAATAGTTTGAAAAGTTCCATTTCCGAGAGCAAGTTCATTGTCAGAAGAATCATCAGAGTCCGGATCATATTCCGAGTGATCAGGAGAATAGGGATCAGAGTCTGTTTCCGAATCGTTATAACATTGTTTAGAAGTGGATGGAAGGACCTCAGTATTCTCATCTGAAATAAAAAATACTTTAGTACTTTTTAAACTAAGTTTAAAGAAATGTTTATATTTTTAAATTTTGCGAATGAAAGATACCTACCTATACGTTTTACAAAAAACAACTAATTTAAAAAACTTTAACGAATCTTAAATAGTCTAATAGTTTTTTAGTCTTAAACCGCTAAAAAATGTAAATAATGATAACCTAAAACTTTTTAAACAACAGCGTTTTACAAATTTATTTTCATAGGTTTTACTAAATAAGTTCTAAAAATAAGTTCCCATAATATGCATACTCGGCATATTATGCTTATCACATAAAAATGGTATCCTACGGTATCAATTTATATTTATGTTCAAAAACTAATGAATCGACAAATACCTAACCTATAAAAATAAGCTCTCCCACGATTTTAACAAATTTATTTTTCCAATAGTATTTAAACACTCACCTTTTGTTTCTGTTAACTGGTCACGTACTAATCTTAATATATATTTGGCTCTTGTAGACATTTTTACTTTTGTTTCAAAAAATATTACGAAAAATAAAGCAACAATGTCACTCACAACGTATGCTATGATGAACTGCACAAATAGGTATCTTAAAGAATATCCGGAGGAGGCAACGCATAACACGAGTTACCGGGCGCACAATTAGGTATGTCAAGTTAAACACTTGTTGCAGCAGAAATTTTTGGCGTTGTCAGTTGCACATTTAGATATTTCAATATGACCACTTTAGCAACAATTTTTTTTTCCAACTTATGACATAGCTATTAGTGTGTAATTGGATTTTCATGTATAGAATGGGCATAGAACTTACCTAGTTGTAGTATTAAAAAGAGCGTCAAAAATTATATTGGTAACGGTAGATAACTCAAATCGTAAAAATTTCGAGTTACCTAGTTGTAGTATTAAGGGGACGATAATATATATATATATATATATATATATAATATATATATATAGATATATATATATTTTTTAGATGTTAGAAGAACTTTTACCAGAAGCGGAAAATTTTTATACTACAGGAAATTTAAAGTCTGCCTTGAACAAATTTATTCAAGCATTAGAAGTTTTATATAAATTTACGTCGCCACCACATCCAGAGATCATAAAGATCCAACAGAGAATGAGAAATTGTATAATACACATGGGTAACAGGGCTTGTGGCTATAAAATGATATTGTAGATAATTTTATCTTTCATTAAATAATAAAACAACACAATTAAACTAACTTCTTTACATGTTTAACAACGTCATTTGATTTCAAATGTTAGGAAGAAACTACGATCTCTAAAACCGGAAAACTATGTAGCCCAGTCTGGTTATGCAAAAATCATCGATTTCACGGCAAAATTTTTCGCTGATAGCTGATCCTTGGTCATCATTACTCTTCAATTTATGCCTAGAAAAAATAATGCGAGAAGCGAAAATCAATAGAGAAGGACTCCTATATCATTTGGACATAAGCACACCGGATAATAGATTAGTCACTACCTGGTACAGAAAAGAAATGGCTAGCAACCGTTTCTTAAATTAACCATTCGACACAACCAATCAGATATAAACTTAACCTGGTACAAGCCCTCAGTCTTAGAGTACACATGTTGACACACCCGCTCTACAAAGAAGAATCTCTCAATCTACTGAAGTCCATTCTCATAGATAACTCCTATCCGGCATCTATCATCAATAAATTTCTATATTCCAAAAGCTATGGACAGTCCAATAATGAAACACCCAACGGGCTAACATTACGGTCCATATCTAACAAAATACAGATGACTAGAGTCCCCTCTCACTTCTGAACAAACCACAAAATATGCTTCTCTCCCGTACTTCCCACATATCACTAACAAGCTTAACAAACTTTTCAAAAAGCTGTCAAAATAGCCTTAAAAAATACCAAAACCTTAGGAAAGTTATTTTCTAAGACAAAAACTCCATTGGGCCCCTCTAGAACAAAATAATGTCAAAATAAATCATGTACCCTGTGCAGAGTGTAACTCCTGCTACATTGGCCAGACCAGCAGCTCTCTTCAAGGTCGACTAACGTCCCACAAAAGCAACATTAATTAGGATTTCTAAACCATCTTGTGCCCTTGCACAAGACTGGACTTTTTTTCTGAACACCAAATTAATAAGAACTGAACAAAACAAAATATTAATAGATTGGTATCAAAAGCCAACACACTCTGGAAGATATTTAAACTTTCTTTCAAATAATCCTACTCATCAAAAGTTTAATACAGTGATTGCAATGAAGAAGAGGGTAAGGCATATTAGTGATGATAAATTCATAAACAGAAACTTAAATTTGCTGTTAAACATCTTTGAAAATAATGGATACCCAAAAAATATCCTTAAAAAATTGATATTTAGACATTTTTATACAATATAAAAAACTACTATTAATAAAACAGTTAACACCTTCTGTGACTAGTCTATTTAAACAATTTACTAACATTAAAATTGTCCAATATAATTTATTAGAAAACCGACAACTGTTTTCTAAAGTAAAAGACAAGACACCAACTGTAAATAAAACTAATGTTATCTACAAACTGCCTTGTTTGGATTGACAGAGCTGTTCTGTTGGCCAAACTTCTCAATGGTTAAAACAAAGGATCACACAACACCAAACAGAAAAATACATGTGCGGCAGTTGACCATAACTTAAAATATAGCCATCAATTTGACTATTCAAATGTCAGGGTTCTACAGCAAGAAAATAATTACAAAAAAAGATTGTTTTTGGAAATGTGATATATATATATATATATATATATATATATATATATATATATATATATATATATATGCGTAATAAATTTGATTATTATTAATGGATGATGATTTTTGATCATATGGCACCCTTATAAAAGCCCGAATTAGTTTTCCCAAGTGGAAATTTGCCCACTAGAGCAATAGGACAGAGGAAACTCTCGACCCAGACTGAAGGGTTATACCTGGTATACGGACGGATCTAAAACTGCAGAAGGGTGGAGTGCAGTGGTGGAAATTGAAACATTTCTATCATACTAGGAGAATATACCTGTCTTTCAATCTTACAGTGTTTAGAGAAATTAACATGAATGCTTTCTAACTGAAGCGGATCAATAAACGCACAGGCAGCCAAGGGTCTCTCATAAGTGGACTCTACACTAGTGTGGGAATGCCGACACGAACTCGAAAGATATGAAAAATATGAGTTAATGCTATTATTTATACAACGGAAATTTAAAGGATAAAGGGGAGTGGGATCCTTGTTGAAACATTTAAAGCAGTTAAGTGGAAAACCATAGAATAACTCTACACAACTGCTGCAGATAGAGTGAAACGGGCCATGATTTTCGCCAATATCCCTAAAGTCTGAGGCACAGGAAGACGAAGAAAGAGTCCATTAATGACATTCAGTCAAACTCACTAGCTAACAATCGAAGGATTGTCAGGGTAATAGTAGGGCTGTTAATAGTCTGTTCTGTCTAGACGAAGAGGAAACCGCTCTGCACCTCTTATGTCTCACTGCTCGCAGCCTCAGCAGACCCCACTCAAGGGGTCTTTCACTTTCCAAGTCTATTGCTGTAAAGGTAATAGTGATCTTACTTAAAAATTAATATTTATTAAGAAAAAGAAGAAAAATAACATTAGAAAAAAAAGTAATTTCCTTAATAATACAAATAACTATCATTTAAATACTATAAAAATCATCAGTATACATGATATATTAATAACAATTTAATTTTTCTGAAAATTAACCAGTCGATAATGATAGTCTTCGCTGAATCCTGAATCTTGTCTGCTAAATGGCGGTCTAGCTTTAATTCCCACTGTAGTCAGCCTTTTGTTGGGATCTACACAGAGCATATTTTCTAACAGCATATGCTGAAAAACGCAAAGAATTACGTATTAGATATAATTACATATTATGATGCAATACTAAAAATGATGTGAGTTGATTACCTCATTTGAATATTTTTCCTCGAACCAAGGAGGATAAATACTTTGCTTAACATCAGTCAGTGTTTTAATACGTTCCATTCCAGTTGAACAGGGAACAAGTAGTTCAAATAAAATTAATCCTAGGGAATATATGTCCACTTTGCAGTCATAAATGTTACTTTTAAACTGTTCTGGACTCATGTACAGTTGAGTTCCTGAAATATAATATACATGAAGATTTTCACATTTAATAACAAGTCAAAAATACTTGAATTATTGGACTAATCCTTACCTACTTCCACGGTATGGCCTCTGTAGGGAGAGGAACCCTTTTTAATTAATTCTAAATCAAAGGCGTCCTCAGCATCTTTAACCAATCCAAAATCTCCCACTTTTACTTGACCATCTAGAGAGAAAAATATATTGCTTGGCTGAAAAAATTTAACAGGTTTTGCAGAAACTGTAACAATTGATATTTATCTATAATTACCTTCAAATCTCGATGAATGAGTCCTTTCAGGTGGACATAATCAACAGCATCTAATATTTGAGAAAATATATTGATAATGAGCTTATAATCCCTTGATTGGTGCATCATTAGCCAGTCCTTCAAATTTTCTTTTTTACACAGCTGCATCTGAATGTACAAAAATACTGGTTGCTCGCTAGGTATCTTTATCTGTTGACTATGTGAATAATCCCAGGAGTAATGTTTTCTATCTGGCCGTTTCCAGTCAATTTTTTTCCTCAAATGTTCAGAATATGACTGTTCCCTCTTTTCAGATACAGAAGGTTCTGTTACTCCTGAGTCATTTCGAGCATTCGGGTTAGAATCTTCAAATACAACGAAGGAGTCATCATCGTCGTCGTCGTCGTCTTTTTTTTGAATCGCATTTGAAATCTCTGAATCATAAAATCTAGGTAAAAGATCATCTATGCTTATAGAATGAGATTTGACCCGTTCTGGAGGGGATTTAGTGGTGGGGGTAACAGTTACCGTTGGTTCACAGTCATATTCTCTATAAATAAAAAGGTGAAATTATTTTCAGTAGTAGGTCAATTAAGTTAGTGTTTACTCGAGATGAGTTTGACAGTTGGGATGTGTAGTATAAGATACTAAAAAAAGATTCATCGATACTCAAGATACTACAAAAAGATTCATCCATTTGTGAGTAGAACTATTTTTAAATAAACAATCAAAACGTCAAACTCATTATTTTGCTAATAACTCATAAACTTGTCTATTTAGAGATTTGATATTAACAGACAACTTGTTCAGTAAAAAAAAATACACAAAATCAGATACCGATGGCTTAAACTATCTATGACCAGCTAACTCCAAACATGTAAATTTTACAGGAGACAATAAAAACTGCTTGGAGGGTGCAGAGTGACATTTATTTCACAAATATAACTAATAATAATGTTACAATTAAAGACATGAGTTGATAAAGGTGCTATGTCCATTTTTTTTTCAAAAAATGACTTATTTGTATATTTGGTTACCTAAAGTCGTAATACAACCCCTGAATAACTCAAGATTCTTAAATTGTTAATAATAAGGATTATTTTAATTGATAAAGGTACTATGTCCTATGACTAAGTACACTTTTTTATTAGATAAAGGTGCTATGTCCATATTTAAGGACATAGCACCTTTATCCACTAGATAGTGGGAAAGTTTTATTTACATGGTAGGTGCCATGTGACATTTTAAGGTTATGTTTGTTGTTTATCACATCTTTCAACATGGGTTCGAGAAGTAAAAGAATGTTAGAATTAGTAAAAAACAAGAAAATATGTGTTTCAAATAAAGGTAAGTCCGAATAGAGACTTTTTTGTAGATAGAAACTGTATTTTGTACTTCTCTAGAGGTCAATACCAATGCGGTGATTTTGGAGCAGCCAAGCACTAGTGGACTTCAAAAGAAGGTCAACTCTAAAGCAGGTAAGCATTTAAAAAATTTTTTTACTACCTTTATTAATTAATCATCTCTTTTTAATAACAATTTACCCCCTCTGCAATTCAATTTTTTAGTTAAAAAAATATAGATATAATATACATTACTTGAGTTATTATTATATACATACCTACCTATGTACATAAATTAAATTTTTAGACTATATGGATAATAATTGTACTGATGAAAGTGTTACATCAGGCAGCGAATATTCCCCTTCCAGTGAAGAAGATTCAGAAGAGGATTCTGATAACTCAAATATTTCTTATTCGACGAGTCTCATAAACAAATATCCGGATGTTGATAGAGTCAAACGTAAAATGTTTTCTGATAACCAAGAAATTAAAAAGGTAAAGCTAAAAAAAGTTAAGATTAAGAAATAAAAATAGAAATTAGAAATAAGTATAAATTTAATAAATAACTAAGATATTTTTAAGGTTCCGACAAACAGCAGGGAAACCCCGGATAGGATTGACGAAGTGCAGGAGGAAATACCTCGGAAAATACGTATAAAAGACCATAACCAGCAATTCCATGTTACTGCCGATGAAATAAGTAGAAGAGAAATTGTTAAACCAGTTTTAAAAATAACTAAAAAAGAGTCCGGAAACCTGATAATTGGAAACGAAATAAAGCTGCAAGGTTAAGACAACAAGGTAAAGAATATATTTCTCAAAAGACTGGTAAAGTGATGGAAGAAAAAACAATTAAAAGATATTTACTGTGTAAAGCAAAATGTAGACTAAACTGTACTGAGAAGTTTAGTATTGCAAGCAGAGAAGAAATTCTAAGAAAATTTTATAAGCTAGATACAAATTCCAAAAATATTTTAATACCGCCCTCGTAAAAATGTAAAAACGAAAGCTTACAGCTTTAAATATTTTATTACGTGTGATAAAGAAAATACACTAGTGTGTAAAGATGCTTTCTGCTCTTTATACCGAATTGGACGAAAAAAAGTCTTTAAAGCTCAAAATGACTTAAAATCTGGCCAGGTAATGCCCTCACCACATAAGCAAGGGCATCACAAAAATCCAAAAAAAAAATATCCGATGAAGTAATAAACTGCATTGAAAATCATATCAAGCAGTTTCCTTCAGAAGAATCACATTATTCTAGGACTAAAAATCCACATAAAAAAATACCTTTCCCCTTTACTAAATATCAACCGACTTCATCAACTGTATATAGAGGATTTTCAAACAAAAAAGCTCGAAACTAAATATTTCGTAAAGACCTCTTTTTACAGATATATATTTGAAACAAGGTTTAAGTTATCTTTTGGTGTACCAAAAAGTGATACTTGCAGTTTATGCGATGCTGGAGAGAACTCTTTAGAGCACTCGAATAATTTTCAACTTGCTTTTGCGCAGCAGAAAGTTGACCGCGAAGCAGTAAAAATTTCCAAAGAAAAATGTTACATAACAATGGATCTTCAACAAACGATGCCTTTGCCAAAGCTATCAACGTCAAAATCTTTTTACTTAAGACAAATGTGGCTATACAACTTTGGAGTCCACTGTTTAACCAGTTCTGGTCATAAGTTCTATTTTTTTACACGGACTGAGGATATTGCCAATAGGGGAAGTAATGAAATAGCAAGTTGTTTGCTACGATTTTGAGTGCTTCTTAAAGAAGAAAATCCCCAAACTGATCATTTAATAATTTGGTCAGATCAATGTGGGGGACAAAACAAAAACTTCTCCATTATTAACCTTTTTCAATACCTAATATGAAATAAAATATTTAAGATCATTGGCCATAAATTTCCCGAAGTTGGTCATAGTTACCTTGACTCTGACAGAGACTTTGGAAGAATAGAAAAGGTTCTAATAAAACATCAGAATATTTATATACCAGACCAATATCGGGAAATTATTAGATCTGCGAGTACCAAACAAAGTGTATGCCTTAACATGGAACATTTTTTTATTGCTTTGAAACTCTACCTGCAAAACTTCATTTAAACAAAAGACTCACTAATAGTCTTGACCAAAAAATAAATTTTCGAGATAAAGTGAAGTGGCTAAGAGTAAGTTGTTTTGGAAAATACTTTTACAAAACTAGTTTAGATCCGTTTACCCCATTTATGGAAGTTGACTTACAAAAAAAAAAAGAGAACTGATAGTACAAAGTAATCAAGTTGTTTTACAAAAGTTACCTAAATGCGGTGGTTTGACTTCTGAAAAAATTTCAAATCTACAAGATCAACTTACGTTTATTCCAGCAGAGTATAAATGGTATTATGATATTGTTTTAGAAGAATGTTTGAAAAACCCTAAGAAAAAACGTAATTCATGTTAAATTTAAATGTTTCTGTGTCTTTGTTTATAAATTTTTAATGTATCTTACTTTGCTTTTGTTAATCTGCAAATAAAATTTAATTTCCAGATTATTTAATAGTTTTTTTATTATTTTTTTTTTAATTTAAATACAACATAGGTGACATAACACCTTTCTCTACTCAAGTTTATACCAACATCTGCATAAAATGTTGGTTGATTAAGGTGCTATGTCCATTAAAATTAAAATTACTAAAAAAGTTTAAATTCTAGAAAAACAAAAAATATTATATAAAAAAGTACAAAACGATTCTAATCTAATAAGATATTGGTAATTTTTATAAAATTTATTAAAAAAAATATATAAGTGAAAACGCGTTTCCTTCAATTACTCAATATCTGAAAAAGTGGACATGGCACCTTTATCATCTCATGTCTTCAATTGGAAACTTAATAAAATTATACCGTATTTTTTAATATTTTGGCTGTTGTAGAAAGAATCAGGAGTTAGCTGTTTTATTTAAAAAGAAGACAATTTTTTTGGGAGTTAGACAGTTTTTATTTTAATCCTGCACAATCAAAACAAACTAGAAACTAGTGAAACAAAGAAGTTTTTCTAAAATCTAATGCATAAAACTAATAATTGACAAAGAAAAATAATGATTAATTTTCAAATTGAATATTATTCATAGTACTCGTGAAAATCGGAAGGAAGTTTTTATAATTCTTGTAAATTCTCGAACTTTTTCTTTATTATTTTACGTCAGCTTGCATATAAGCCCGGCAGTTAATTCCAAAGTTTTGTCGTAACTTTATTATCTTTTCTTTGTGACAATATGCACCAATCACCCCCGAATCTTAATTTATAGTAAATATTTCCATCGGGATTGTATTACAGGGCACGCAAATCAGGGTATGCAGGGCATAGTAGATCGGCATAGCATCGAGAAATTCATTCATTGATTTATTTTCCAATTCAAAAGAATTAGATTTCTTGTTTTTTTTAGATTCAATGGGTAGGATACTATTTCTTCTTCATTTTTTCTTTTATGAACACTTTGTGTTCGTCTTGTCTCCTTCCAGTTTAAAACACACCATTTCCCTATACACAATGTGTTTACAAACATTGTTTTGCATACTCTTATTAACTTTTCAACTGTTCTTAAATTATAAATAATAGAACAATTTCTTCTTGTTAAAGATTCATTTTTTCTATCTCTGTGAAGTTGATTTGGTACTATTTGTACTACATAAATTCTTTTCTCTCCCCAAGTCATTTTTCCAAAAAGTAGTAAAGATATTTTGTCTGTCGTCTTCTGTAATCAAAGAACAACTAATTTTACTACCTTTGCCCCGTTCCCCCGTAAGTTTTTAAGTTATGAGCAAAATAATGATATTTGACGTTTTGATTATTTATTTAAAAATAGTTGCACTAAAAAACTGATGAATCTCTAAATGAGAGTTTAGACTGTCAAACCTGTCTATACAGTTGTAATGAAAAAAGGCCTATTTTTTACTAACTTGATTAGTAGATAGTGACTCTTTTAGCAGATACTATACTTACTTGATCCACTGCTTATCATATTCTTGTTGCCAACTAATAGGTGGGCTTTCAACCCACGAACAAAAATATCTAACAATATTTTGATGTTCCAATTTAGCTAAGGCTTTAACCTCTCGCATTACCCTATCTCTGTTCAAAGTCCTGAAACGACACAAAACATTGTGAAAATATATTCAAACAAAATATGGATACACACATACTTCTTAGGTAAAGTAATCCTTTTGATGGCATATGAGCAGTCGTCATATTTGTGTTTGACTTCAAACACAACTCCAAATCCTCCCTTTCCTAGACACCTTACTGTATCATACTGATTAACATATCTGGAACTAAATTGTTCTTTTTGTTCAAAGCAATCTCCCTCGCCCAATTTCGCAGGTACTTCCACAGGAACTGGCTTCTCTACGAATATTACTTTTTGTTTATCTCTAAAATGGTTCCGAAGTAAGAATATTGCAGTTATAAGGGGGATTGTCATCAAAATTAACTCTCTCCAGTACCAAGGAGTCATTAGATAATACAAATATGTCATTTCTCCAGGTTCTATATGTAACCATTTTTTTTTATTACTGTTATTGCATAATAATTGCTCTTCCATAATTGCATGGAGGTAAAATCCTTGTCCTAAAATAAAATTTAGAAAAATTATTGTTATGCTTTTTTTATGGCAATTGGTCTAAGTGCCCATCCAGCCAGCAGCAAATGTGTAATAACGTTCACTTAATAACCTAATCTAACTAAACTAAATATACTCCAATTCTGGAAATTCTGCAGAAAAAATGGAATTTTTATTATTGTTTGAATTTTTCTTGAACGTTTGTTGATGGTATATAGAATGCACATCCCGTACCATTATTTTGTTTTGATGCATCAGTATATATTTCCAGAAAATCTGACAGATTTGATATGCAGGCGCTTAATATATTTTTACTAATCAACAAATTTTCATTGTATACAGGAATATTAATTTCTAGTGGTTCCAACAAAGAATTCAGATTTTTCGACTGAAATAGTTCTTTTTAAATCACTATTATAACTACTTGTATTTCTAAAAGCCAGACATAATGGAGGAGAAAATTTTTTGACCAATATGTGTTAGTTAAATCGTGGTTATTTAATAAGGCTATTTTATCTAGAAATATGTTTGAAAAAAAGTGTTATTAAACATTTTAGAGATGGCGTGAGAAGGGCACGTTTGACACGTCAGACTGGAAAAAGGGGTTGCTCTTGGTGTCAGACAATAATAAAACCGTTAGTTTCTATAGTCAGGCATACAGGCATACAGAAAAGATTAGCTGGTTATTTATCATTTTTGCACTGGCCGTTTTTCGGTCATGTTTGGGGGGGGGTGGAGGACACCCTTACCGTCCCGTCTATGGCGTCAGAAACTATTCACTGAAATCAACCCATTCAATGGCAAAAGTATTATCATTTTTGCACATGTCATGAAACAGTCATTTTTCAGAAAATATAGGGGGAAAATGCCCCCGAACCAAAAAAGACACAGAGGAAAACTGTGACAGACTTGGTCTAAGAAGGCCGTACAAGAAGTTTCAAGGGAGTATGAATCTCTAAAAAATTTGCCAGCGGGTACTCTAACTAAAATAACAAATCAAAATATTTACCATTAACATATTCTGAAGCATTTAAAACTGACAATGCTGTTGAATCTTCTTCTGTATTAGTTGTAGAAGCAGCAATTGGCTTCCATGGTATTTTCGCAATACTTTTACTTTCTGCTACCACTATGTTTGTCCCTGATCTTCTATTGAGAATTGCGTTTTGTAACAGTGAAGATTCATGTATGTAGAGCTAGAAATAAATAAATAAAATATGACTGCTTTTCGTCTAAATATATGTAGAAAATTTACAACTGTTCTAATATTTAAGTCTGTGAAGATTATTATACGAAGGACTTTTTTTTCCTTTTTTGAAGGACTAAATACGGAATCGACGGAATACTTATACAGGAAAAAAACATCACTGAAAGAAGATCGCTGGGAAAAACGCGAAAAATAATATAATTAACGCAGCAACAGAATCACTTGGAGAGAAGAAAGTTACGAACACTAACATATTAAAAAAGAAAATACCCTGGTTTAGAGAGGAAATGAAGACATGTCTTCAATTAAAGATGAAGGTTATAAAAATAATTCATCATCATCATCATCACCATCACGGTACTACAGCCCTTAAAGACTTACTCAAGTTTTCTGCTCTGCCCCATGCTTGGATTTTCCAGTTGGCAACGCCGATCTTCTCAACATCCTGTCTTACCCCATCTATCCACCTCAGTTTTTGACCTTTCTATCATGGGATAGGATACATGATTTTATCAAATCCTTTTTATCATGTTCGATTCCGGGGTCCGGGGCTACATTTCCTGCTCAGTGCAGACAGTTTCAGACAGTCTGTATCAGTTAGGGTCCATGCTCCTGATTCATATGTGAGAACGGGGACTATCAGTGTTCTATACAGTCTTATAGGAGTATGAATTACAAAAAAAATACTTAAGAAACTAAAGAACAGAAAAGCTGCAGGTAAAGATGCGACACCAAATGAATTGTTGAAATATGATGGAACGACAATGACGGATCAACTTACATCATAACAAGATTAAGACAAAATAAAATGCCAGAAGAATGGAGGTCAAGCGAGCTAATCCTATTACTAAAAAAAAAGAAGTTACTAAAATTAGCTTCATAGTTTCTTTTATAGTGATGGATGAACTAAATTGCGGATTTTGTGATCAAATTTGTTATTTTAAAGAGGAGTTGTTTGGATGTGCATGTGATAATTTCAAGAAGATATCACATTATAATATGGAGCAAATATTGCATAAGACAGTCTCTAAAATTGATGCCCTGATAAGAAACACAGATAATACTGAATCGACTATTCCACAATAATCATTAGATGTTATAAAAGAGATGGTAAAATGTGAACTTAGTGCGGCTATGAAGATTTTGGAATTGAGTCTTGATTTCCTCTTATGAAATAAGATGTGCAGTTGCTAAAACCAGAACCATTATAATATGGTGCAAATATTATTGTATAAGACAGTACTCTAAAATTGATGGCCCGATTAGGTGTGTAGATAATATTGAATTCCACAATAATTACATATTAGATTTCATAAAAGAAATGGTAAAATGTAAACTTAGTGAGGTTATGAAGAATCACGTCCAACATGATGATCGATAGCAACAAGGAGTTAGTGAAAATTTGAGTGATAATTCGAAGCTAAGCAGAGCACTCCAGAAATTCGGGTAAACGTTGCAACGCCTACTTTTCGTCCTTCAATAACAGTTTGAAATCAGCTGACCAATCAGAAAACCAACGTTGCTAGTTTTTCAAAACAAAGATTCTGCTGATAATGACCAAGAATTTACCCTGATACATATAGGAGAGGTGAAAATATCTCTTTTAAAATAAGTATTCATCCAGATGACAAGGTAATTTTCGAGGCCAGAAATTTGGCTTAAAGAAAGTAGTCATTAGTAATAAACGTCAATCTTAAAATTTTTGCCAGGGTCGAGGAGATCAGACCTTGATATAACTAAAAATGGCTCACTGAAATCAAATATATGTGTTAACTATCTGAATACTGTGAGTGCAATAAACAAAAATACAGAGTTTCCAGCAAGCTTTAGGTTGTTCCTGCTACAATATAGTATTGATTGCAGAGATTTGGTTGACTTTTGATTATTCTGATGCTGAAGTGAGAGTTTCAGAGTATGACATTTATATTTATATAAAATTGAGAAGTGGTTAAACGCTCTAAAGGCGGGTGTAGGGGTGCATTAAAAAGAGCCTTTCTACCCTTAATTATTATTCACACTTAGTGGTCAGCTAAATGAATAACTACTTTAGGGACAACAACGCAACTAGCTTTCTATGAGCTGTCCATAGTTACTACATTTTCTAAATGATTCTTACTTGTTTTTCATGCATTCCTAGGTAAATCGATGGAGAGTGTCCTGGGACAAAAAGATCAATTTCTGACATATTTTTTCCAGACCATATCCACACACGTACAATAGGAGATGGAAACACATGACTCCATTTGTTGTTAACATCATTGTGTCTAAATGACACCTTCAAAACTCCGTCTGGTAAAATAGCTGACACATTCCAATCAACTTTATCTGTATTGCTGTAAATACAACTTATCTTGGACAATTTAATATCATGAAGACCAACACTGAAGTTCCACCTTAAATATAAAATAAAAATCAAATGCGAAAATTTAAGAAAACTACTTTTAACTAGATGTTTACCTTTCTTGGCCATTTCTAGGTTCAACAGCCCTTATTGTATGAGTCATACGTTCCAATATAAGCAAATCATCTTCACCTCTTTGGTCATCTAGGTTAGAACACTTTAGAGAAGTGCATTCATAATAGACTATGCCAGACTGGAATCCAATACCATATGTTCGAACATCAATACTACCTAAATTATAATAAATGATATAAATATATAAGATTCACATTCAGTAAAGGAAAACAGCTCTACTTAATCTATATCAGTCATGTCAAAGATGCGAGCCACTTCCCGTCCGTGATTAAATGCAATCACAATGTACCACAGAAAGAGTTATGCTTTTTAAAAGTTTTAGATTGCACTTGATACCTCTACAGAAGTTTTAAAATGTGTACACTATATTTATAAGTAATTTCAAGCAATAAAGTAAGTAGAAAGTAACGCCATCTCTTAGCAATAAGCGGTAATACCCTATTATTTTTGTTGAGAGCAGTAGAATCTTCCATGCACTTCGAGTCTAGACTACAACCTTCGGCCAAGGTAGACTTCTTCTTAATGTGCCCTATCAAGTCCCCTTGACGTTGCCGATTAATATGGCGAAACTATCTCTGTCTTGAGCTATTCTAAATTTAATTTAATTCAAGGTAGACTACAACTAGAAAAACGGCCAACGTCAAAAAGACTTAGGCAGAGGAGCTAAGAAGGCTTTAAGAACCCTGCTTAAAGAAAAGGACGCCGAAATTACGAGCCTCAGAAAGAAGATCGACGAACTACAGGGTGTCAATCTACTATCGACACCCTGTATGTCTGACACCCATAAATCAACCTCTACTATGTAGAGGGTGACCTATCCCTGCAAAAAATGTACAATATGTACGAGGATTTCATAAAGGAAAAAGACTTGACTCTGGTAAAACTTAAAGTTTATGGCAAAATATTTTGCATTGAATTCAATTATTCGTTTAATAAACCTTCAAAAGATCTATGTGACCTCTGTGCTGAAATAGACTGCCTGAAGGAAATACCCTTAATGAAGAAAAGAAAAAGGAATATGAAAAACACTTGCAAGGAAATATTTTAATGAGAGAAGAGGAAAAGACGGATATTGAAAATGGTAACGCAGTACTGTGGTTTGACTTACAAAATGTATTGACATGTCAAAAAGGAGATGTCAAAAATTTCTTTTATAAAAGTAAGCTAAATGTATATAACATGACAGCGCACCTTTCCATAAATTGGACTGTTTATTGTGTGTTTGTGCTGTATACAAAATTCTGAAAAGGGTTGTAGAAGACTATCTGTTATTAGAGGATTTGACTTTGTGGAGTGATAGTTGTGTTCCGAAAAATCACAGTAGATTTATGAGTTTTGCTGTTGTACATATTTTAAAAACTAATATGAACTTAAAATTCAAATGAAATTTTCAGTACCTGGACATTCCTGCACACAAGATGTTGATTCAGTTCAGTTCAGTGCAATTGAATGCAGTTTGAAAAAATCTGAATACTTTTCTCCACTTTTGTTATTAAGAGTCCTTTTAAAAGTAAACATAAGAAAGACTTACACCATACTTCAAATAAAAGAGCCAGATTTTCTGGATTTTTCAACATATTCATTAAAACTTAATTATACTGCAGTTCCATTTTCAAAGGTGATTTTTTTACAATTTACTACAGATTTTTATGACATCAGTTTGCAGACCACTTTTAACCAATGTGAATAGAAAATCATCAGTTTAAGACAATGGCAAATAAAGGAAAGATACAAGAGAAAACTTGAGGCAACAGAAATGGATTTCTGGAGAAGTTCAGCTGGAAAATCTAGACTAGAAAGAGTAATGAACAACAGAATAAGAGAAATTATGAAAGTAAAACATACAATAGTAGATGATATTGGTACCCAACAACTCAGATGGTTCAGTCATGTACAGAGAATTTGGAAGAACATCTAGCAAAACAAGTTTTAAGCCATGGAACTCTAAACATTGTAATTTATAGATGAAATTGGTCTATACATAATTGGTATCTGGTTTTGAACTTTAGAAAATAAAGTAAGTAATGTATTTTAGATCACTGTATTTTCTTCATGGTTTTTTGACTGAAAAACAGCATCATAACAGAAAAAATATTCATAACTGTTAAAAAATTTGACTACTCACCTGCAATTACAAGATCATCTGAATACTTAAATGATGATTTAAGTAGTTCTTCTGTGGTGATTGGTATTGGATCAACAGTAGAACCATCAAATTTATATAAACCTCCTGTTAAAGAAGGTATAATCCTTATCCATTCTCCATTATTAGTTAACTAAAAAATATAAGGATTCTTCAACATCCATCACACTCAAAAAGAAATAGAGAATGTAAAAAAAGATATAGGTAACTGTAAAATAAGTTCTTATTGCTGCCTAATATATTTACAAAACAATTAGATGACATGTTTGTTTTTAATATCAGGTATTATCTTACTGTTTACAATATAACTTTTAATTGCTTTATATGTTTTTAATATTGTTACTTGTTCTTACTTCTAGGTTATGTATATTTGATAACAGTAGAGGACCAGGACCAGTATCAAATGTCCACATTAATGAACCAATGGAATTTAATGCTGACAATTTCCCATCAAGAGTACTCACTATCACCAAGCTACAAAAGAAAATAAACAATAAAGTAAAACATTTATTTTGTGCCTTAGGTAATTTGATATCGATTTTATGGATTAAATAGTTTGATATAATAAAGATATTTTGTACACACTTGTAAAAAATGTTAGGGGTAAAAATGATTATATATTTTTAAGTTTAAAATGTTTAATTTCTAGCTCAGTACTTTTAGCCATTAATGAATTAGTTTGGTGTTGAACAATTAGAACTTACGAAACACTGGGGACGGATCAAAATTACTTGTTTAGGATATGGATACAAGAACTCATCACAAAATACACCTGTACAATTAGTAAATAATTTCAATGCCCTAATGTTGTTTTCTGTGATACATTAGTTTAGGTTTCAATCTTCTAGTAGTACTTTAGCTTGATCACATAATTAATGAGGGCTGAAGCCCCAAACACTCAACTATTAATTAAACATATTAAACACTTCAAACGATTTTTTTTACATTGTTAAAACAATAATTATTATATGAATATTACTACACATACCCCGGCTCTGATCCATGACAGTAAGGCAAAGAAGGAATGTCGGTACTTGAATAATATATAAAACTTAAGAAGTTAATTACTATAAATAAAAGGTTCATTTCGAAAACAAAACTTTTCACATTTTTATAACATCATGTAATGTCAATTGAATACCTATACACAAACAATTAGATAGTATTTAGATATGCACACAAAACATAAATCTCAAACATCATTTTCTATGATACGTAACAGAACGTCATCTGTCATAGGCAGTTTTTTGTGGATGGACAATATTTTAACGATGGGAATCGGAAGAATGGAAAAACAGCGCGATAATTTGAAGACAATTAAAACAACCAAACTGGAGTTTCTGGATCATGGCATGCCTCTGCACTGCCTTTATAATATTATCTGTTGCTAAGAACGATAATATTAATCTTAATATTACAATACATGTGTTCAGAGTGTTCAGAGTGGGACGATCGTGGATGGATCGTCTATTCACTTAAAAACGAATAATTGAATGTAATTATTTATAGAGAGTAAATACAGGAAGAAGCTTAATATTTATAGTCCTATAGAAAACACATGTCAATGTGCCAATGATAATACTACAAGAAGCGATGGAAAGGATAAATAAATAATTATGTCAATTAAAGTTATTAAAAAATATATACACAAACAGAATAATAAAAATTAAAATACAAAATAATGGGAAGAAATAGGGAACTTTTGACCACCATTAAAGGCGAAAGACAGCATATTTGGGGCACATACTTAGAAATGATAAGTACGAGTTGTTGCAGCTGATTATGAAGGGTAAAATCGAAGACAAATATCCAACGACAGGTATCAGGGAGACGACAAATATCCTGGCTGAAAAACATTAGCGAGTGGACCGGGTTTAACATACAAGCTCTTAAGAAAAGCAAAAGATAGAGACGAATTTGCAATGGTTATAGCTAACCTTCATTAGTCGAGACGGCACTAGAAGAAGAAGAAGATCGCTAGAAGAAAGAAGAGTATGTACTATTTTGTTTTTCCGCCAAGGTACTGGTGGTCTTTTGCAGAGCTTCGTTTTACCTATATTTGTTAGAGCTGCTTCTATAATTATTTTGCTTAAGGACGTATTGTTAGAGTTTATGCCATTACTTGGATAGTAATTTTCAATTTTATTTTTAATGTCGACTTTATAAGACGACCAGTTTGCATCCTTCATTTCCAGGACTGATAGATTGAAAAGTTAGGAGATTTAATTTAATTTGATGATATACTAACAGAGAGGAAAGAGATCACTATCATATAAAGATTTTAAAGTATTCCACGTGAGAAATGTTGATAAAGATTGATTACATAGTGATAAATCTATGGCGACAAAAGAACCATTATAGGAGTTAATTCTGATAGGTTTCTTGTACTTATTAAGTAATAGTACCTAAATTAGAAGAGTCGATGAGATGTTTCATTCAATTACCATATGTGTCTGTTTTATGTTTTTCTTATGCAGGACGATGACAGTTAATATCTCCTAAAATTATTTTTGAGTGTGGAATTTGATCAAGAAGGTTATTTAGTGAGCGGTAAATAAAAATGGTGTCTGGAGAAGACGATACAACTTTGAACTCTATAGAATATACCAGGAACCAGATATCGTAAAACACATTAAGATAGGACGTCTGAGTTGGGTAGGCCATGTAATGCGGATGGAGCAAACCGACCCAGCTAGAAAAACGCTCATTGATAGACCTATTGGTCAAAGAAGAAAGGGAAGACCCAGAATAAGATTCCTAGATAACATAGACCAAGATATGAGAAATATGGAAATACGCGCTTGGCGGAGGAATGCGATGGATAGGGACGACTGGAAGAGAATTCTTGGGGAGGCTAGGACCCACACAGGGTTGTAAAGCCAAAATGATGATGATGATGGTTATTTAGTTATTGTAGGTCTAGCCTGGTAAGATGTGGTAAATAAATGTAGCATATATTGTTCTGTTTGGATATTAGATGAATTCAGCTTCCTGTGACCAATAGTCATGCATTTTATACAGTTAAATACTTCTATAGAAAGTTATAATCGGTAATTGGTATTGTCATGGGAGGTGATGAAAGAATCAGGAATAGACATATTTTCCAAATGTATAATAAATATTTGCCTTCTAAAATTCAAGATATGGCCGTATTCGCTTTCAGGCATTCCTACTCTCCATCACACCCATCTTATGTAGTTCTTGTTCAATTAATGTGTTTGGGAAAGTAGGGTAAGCATGTGATATTACTAATCTTTGAGCTGTATAGATAAGTTTTCTTATTTCTACTTGAGTTTCTTTTTTATTAACATATTTGTGGAAATGAAGAAGTAAATCAACTGTATTTTTAGAAGAACGATATAAAGATATTCTATTGTTGGCAATTCTGGAAGCGAAGAATCCGTTACATGGACCAACTAGTGAACCGACGGCTATGGTTTAGTCATGAACTTTAGATTCTTCAATAGTGGAAAGCGCTATAGCTTGTTCTTTGGTTGGATCCTTGAAGTTATTGATAATGAGTAATGTAATTGAAGTAATGATTGATTGATAATTGGAACACTGCAAGGCCAGTCCTGTCACTAGTTAAAAAACTGGTGTGTATCATGACCCAAAACCTATTTCATAGGTTTATATTAATAATTTAGATATTATGAGGTGGTTTTTGGTGCTCAGTACTCACGTCACGTTTGCTAAGTTGGCTTGGAGATTGCACTATAACTATGTGAATAAAGTAACAAAATAATTTTAAATAATTTTTAAAATAATTTTAAATTGTGATTTGTTTATTTAACGGGATGAACCCTTTTTTCCTTAGAAAAATTACAATATACACATATAATAAACATATAAACTGTAGTCATATATTACAATTTTAAAAAGTATTAATAACATTAATGTCTCAATTTCTTTAAACTATTCTTGAACGAGGACACGGATAAATTAAACAATTCAACACTATCTTGCAAATTATTGGCAGTTCTCAACATCCTTGTGATTGACTCACTTTTACCATAATTAGTGTGATGAAACTTTAGTCTAAACAGGTCAGGAGAGCGTGTTCTTCTAGAATTTACATTAAAAACAATTAATTCCAGCAGTTCCGGACAATCAACATAACCATTAAGAATTTTATGCAAAAAACGCAATTCACACTCAGATTCTCTATTTTCTAAAGTTTTCATATTAAGTTGACAAAGAATATAGTTATAATCACAGTTAGTTCTATTAAAACCCATTTTATACCTGCAAATTCTTAGGAATTTATTTTGAACTCGTTCCAACTGATCAATATACATATTATAATATGGATACCAAATAATATTACAATATTCCAAAATGGACCGAACTAGAGAACAATACAAAATTTTGAAAGTAAATATTGAAAATTCTCGGGAGTTCCTTTGAACAAAGCCGAGCATTCTATAAGCCCGCGATGTAATATTATTAATATGCCTATCAAACATTAGTCTTTGGTCAAATGTAATTCCAAGGTCTCTAATTTGATTTACTTCTGTAATCGATACTCCCTTAAGTATGTATGTTCTATATAACTGATGTTTAGTATTTCTGGAAAACGTAATTTTATAGCACTTTTTTATATTTAAATATAAGGCATTAATGTCACACCAACGAGATAAATTATTTAAGTCAGACTGAAGAGCATCCATATCAGAGGTATTTTTAATTGCTTTAAAGATCTTTATGTCATCAGCAAACAATAGAAATTCACTATTATTAATTACTGATGATATATCATTCACAAACAGATTAAATAGAAGTGGGCCTAAGTGAGAACCTTGAGGTACACCCGAAGTAACATTAATCGCTTCAGAAACAAAATCACCATATTTTACTATTTGTGAACGATCTGTTAAATAACTCGTGATCCAACCCAATAAATTATCTCCAATTCCGTATCCACGAAGTTTAGCAATTAATATTTCGTGATTTACCCTGTCAAATGCTTTGGCAAAATCAGCATATATGGAGTCAACTTGGTTTCCCGATTCCATAGAATCAACAATGAAGTTTGAATACAAAATAAGATTTGTACAAGTAGATTTCTTTTGATAGAAACCATGTTGTTGACCGAGAATTAAATTTTTACAATCGTAGGTTAACATATGGTTAACAAAAAAATCAAGCAACTTTGGTAGTTCAGACTGCAAACAAACAGCCCTGTAATTTTCAACATTATTATTTTGACCAGATTTAAAAATGGGTTTTAAAAAACTCACTTTCCAAAAATCAGGAAATGTAGAAGAAGTTAATGACTTATTGAATAATAACTGAATAGGTTTAGCAAGAGTGAATACACATTTTTTAATAAAATACATTGGTATACCATCTGGACCCGCTGTCAGTTTCCACGGATTATTCTGTATCTTATCAATAATATCCTTAACATTAATTAAATAATTATTAGCATTAACATAATTTTCGTACTTAAAATTAGGAATCTGATTTATTTTTCCTTTATTATAGACAGTCGAAAAGAACCCAGCAAATAAATTCACAATATCTGAACCATTTTCACTACTTTCATTACCATAACTCATACTCGATGGTAGAACATGAGATTTGCGTTTATTATTAATATATTTCCAGAAAGAACAAGAATTATGAAAAATGCTAGCCTCAATTTCATTCACATGACGCCTTTGTAAATACTTGCTAAGCTCTTTACATTGTTCCCTGAGATCGGAAAAAAGACAATAGTTCTCATCACCACCAGTCATTTTAAATTTTTTATGTGCTTTTTTCTTCTCATAAAGTAAATGTTTTAACTCTGATGTAAACCATTTGGGATATGTAGATGTTTTAAATTTTTTTAATGGTATAAACAATTCGATTAAATAAAATAAAATATCATAAAAATCTTTAACTACGTCATTAATGCTTTTGTTAAGAAATAATAAATTCCAGTCAACTTCTGCTAAATAATAATTTAAAGCAACATAATCACCATTTTTAAAGTCAAAATAGTATTCTTCATAATTAAGGACAGATTCTTTTATATCAACAATTACGTCAAAATTGACTGGTGTATGATGAAATCCCTCCTCAAATAACGGATCCAGAGGTACAGAAACAGATATATCAGGAAAGCTAGAAAAAATTAAATCAAGAAAAAACATTTCTCCGGTTGGATATCGTATTGACCTGGTATAAGTCACAAATATTAATGATATTACATATATCGTTAGCTGGTGAGTTTTGGTTAGCCTGTACCGTGGTACCATAAAGACTGTTAACCCAAACTACATCAGGTAAATTATAATCCCCACAAATTATTAATTTACAACCCGGAATCTTATTATATATATATATATATATATATATATATATATATATATATATTATATATATATATATATATATATATTCAATACTATCACAGTGTTCTATATATACATGCCAATCAGATGCAGGAGGTAAATAAACACCACCAAATACGACAGTTTGACTTTGACACTTAAGTGAAACAAACATTTGCTCAACACTATTTTGAGGAACAAAAACCTCACACACTTCCAAATGTTTGGCCACAGCTACTAATACTCCCCCACCACGTTGTTTGACACTAGTATTATAATTTCTATCACTTCTAAAAATGATGAAGTCTTCTAACCCCAATTCTGCATCATGGAATTCAAAATTTAACCAAGTTTCGACTAAAACCATCACATTGTAATCGGCGCATGACACTGTCTGGCTTAAATCCTTAAGCTTTGTTCTTAAACCACCCACATTTTGAAAATAAACATTTAGTACAGTTCTACCATTATGATCATTAACGCTACTTTTTGATTGCTATCTTTAATAATTTATCTTCTCTTTGTTTTTATGTTATGTTAGCTGAACTGATTATATGTGGAGTTGTAATCACTGACCAAATACATAAAATAATAGTCAGAGCTTGGGATGGGTTTGAATTTAGAAACCACAGTGGAATAATCCCCCTTAATATAGTATAATAACTTTTATCAATAATGGCGAATATGATTTAATAAATGGAGGCACTACTCAAGTGCCTATGATCACTAACTTGGTTGATTTCAGGAGATTTTAAGGCGTGCAAAAATGGTTTCTAGTTGCTATTAAAGCCTTTATAAAAAATACTCTAGTAGGAGTTCACAATAGGGACATGAAAAAGCATTCAGGACAAGTTATCAAAATTTAAATATAAAACTTTATTTATTTTCATTGTATACATAATTCTAAATATACACATATATAAACATAAAAGCTGAATAAAATGTAAAATTGCAGCATGTGTTACTGAAACCACTTAAATTAAATGCTTTTCTTTCTAACTGGTAAAGCAGGTCGGTCATCAATGGCTTTACTCTTACGTCTATCGCCAACGCCGCTTTTTTCGAGTGTTTTGAAGTTTTTTATCGTTTGTTGAACGTTGGAGAAGGTTTCGTAAGTTGAATCAACACTGCCTTCCGAAAAAGAATCATCAACTTCCAAACTGTTAATTGAGTCACTATTAAAATCTTTATTTCCAACATTATAACTGCTAATTTCGTGGTACGAAACGTCTGACTCCACAGAACTTTGTTTCTCGAGAACTCTGGGTTTTATTTGTGGTGGTGGTATCTTTAAAGGACCTTTTGTCTTTGATCCTCGTCGCAAAAATGGTTGAAGCTTAGTTGGTGAATTTAGTGGGCTATTAGAATCTGCCATTGAAGGTTGTAGAGATGGTTGATTTAGGGTAGCTGGCTTCTTAACCCTAAAATATCGAACATTAGTTACTATTTTTTGTTTTAGACTCATATTTTATCTTCTTTACGTCATCTTTAAGGTGACGGTAAAGAAGAGTTTAAGGAAAAATAAATAAAAATGAAGGAGGTTAATAGAAGCATTATAAACTATTCGATTTATCTATTCGTTTAAATTACTCTACAGAAAATAATATATAGTCGTCCGTCTTTTTCAGGAGTTCGGTTGTGCGACTTCCACGATAAAATTAGTAAACTTTTAATAAGAAATCAGAAACTACTTACATCGTAAGTTGTTCATAAATACCGTCAGAATCATCCTCATCCTCATCTGGCGAAATATTATAAACTGTTTCTGGAAGTGAAATGGTATCTTCTTCAATTTTATATTGTGTTATTGCCTTGTCATGACAGCTGTTAATGTGCGTTGTCCATTGCAACATATCCTTGTGAGTTAAAGCAATAAACTGAAAACATATATCAATTATTGTAGTAAACATCTCATTAATTCAATTGCTAACTTTAAATTTCCAGTTAAAAACTCAGTTCTTCGAGTTTTGTTAAAAACTACGATAGATAGACCGGGACTAGGCGAGACATACTGTAAAAAAGAATCATCATATACAAATAGATCAATCAAAGAATAAACCTACGGGTTTGACAGTTGAGATATGTAGTATGAGATGCTATAAAAATACTCTCATCTAGGGATTCATCAATGTTTTAATAGACATATTTTTAAATAAACAATCAAAACGTCAAACTTATTATTTTGCTCATAACTTAAAAACCTGTCTATTTAGATATTTACGTCAAAAGACAACTTTTTCTGAAAAAAATATACAAAATGAGATTATGCTAAATTAAAATCGGTTAATACACAAAAAAGTTATTGCAAAATAAACAGCAAAATCTTAACAACAAAATATTTCTGACCATTGATCGTCGTTTACGGGAAATGGGTACATTCCAACCTCAAGTTGCTGGCAATAGTGGTCGTCCAATAATGGATGCAACCGATGAAGACATTTTAGAAATCATTGAAGAAGTCCCTGGAACAAGTAAAAGGGTAATAGCTGCTCAACTAAATGTTCCTAACGTAAGGGTTTGGAGACCTTTGAAGGATCAGCTGCTTAAACCTTATCACTTAACAACGGTTCAAGAGTTATTGGTTGAAGATTATCCTAAAAGGTTTGGATTTTGCGATTGGTTGTTATATAATGAAAACACTCGAAATGTTAATTTTATTAGAAATATTTTGTTTACTGACGAGGCTGCCTTCAGTAGAAATGGAATAACAAACCATCATAACCAGCATATTTGGGCCGACGAAAATCCTCACGCCAAAAAAAAACGACTTATCACCAAAGGACTTTCAAAGTTAATGTTTGGGCAGGAATTGAGGATAACAATCTAATAGGCCCAGTATTCCAACAATTTAAATGGTGATAATTATTTGCAGTTCTTGGCAAACGATTTACAAAAGTATTTGGAAGAAGTGAATATTGCAATAAGGCAAAATATGTGGTTTCTACAAGATGGCGCTTCACCGCATTACAGTAATGAAGTCCGGGAATACCTTTGCAGGTAGTATCCTGGTCGGTGGATTGGAATAGGTCGCACCTATTTCTTGGCCACACAGAAGTCAAGGTCTTAACCCCATGGACTTTTGCTTTTGGGGTTTACGAAAGAAAAAGTGTATTCTGTAACAATAGAGGACGAACAACAATTGAGGGTTAGAATAATTGAAGCTGCAAATCAAGAGCTCAATATGATTTTTGGCAGGGTGATGCCTTGTTAACAGTAGGGGAGACCGGGGAGAGTTCGGACACAGGGAGACATCGGACACATTTGAATTTCGCACATTTTTGAAGATGCACTGTTGTCATTTGGTAAACACAACCTTATTTGTACATAATTATAGGTTATGTATTGACAGCTGTGATTTCGGTCGTAGTCACAGAGTTATCTATTGTGAAGTGTTTTGTCGAGTTTTGTTCTAAAAATATCGGTGCAATCCAGAAGATATATTTTAAAATACATAGACTTACCACGTATAAAACTTTGGTGCTGTAATCTACTATACTTATTTCATTAATTTGCGTTTATGTTGTTGCAATATTTAGGTAAGTTTTTTTATAAACCCATTGTATTACCAATGTTTGCATTAGGGGAGAGTTCGGACACAGTGTCCGAACTCTCCCCTGTGTGTCCGAAGTCTCCCCTGATCTGTAGTTATTCTATTTTTCTCTTACAGCTCATAATGCCCCGTACATATACAAGGGTAACAGAACGACAATTTTCTGCAGACACTATGAAAAATGCCACATCAGAGGTGCTTGACGGCAAATTGAGCATTCGGAATAGCGCCAAAACCTACGGCGTTCCTAAATCTAGTCTTCTAGATTACATAAAGAAAGCTAGAGCTGTGGGTATAGACAACGTAACATTCTCTCCAAATTTCAAGCAATCTCAAGTGTTTACCGATATAATGGAAAAAATGCTTGAAAAATATTTATTAGATTGTTCTTCCATGTTTCATGGACTAACGCCTAAAGCTGCAAGACGTTTAGCTTTTGAATTTGCCAAGAAAAACCATGTTAAAATGCCTACTACATGGAGCGAAAATGAAGAAGCTGGAACAGACTGGTTTTCAGGTTTCATGAAACGTCATCCTGTACTATCTATTAGAACACCTGAAGCCACTAGTCTCGCTAGAATGACGAGTTTTAACAAAGTTACTGTTGAGACGTTTCAAAATAAATTAGAAGAAGTTTTACGTCGTCATTCTTTTGGATCTTCAGCGATTTTCAATTTAGATGAAGTGAGTCAATTAACAATTTTGTTTAGTTATTTTGATAATTAATATCACTTATTTTTTAGACTGGGGTTACTACAGTTCAGCGTGTACCTAAAATAATTGGAAGAAAAGGTCAACATCAAATAGGGCAGGTGACCTCACGTGAACGTGGAGAATTAGTTACACAAGTGGGCATAATTTCTGCTGATGGAAAAGCATTGCCTCCTATATGGGTATTCCCACGGCAACGTTTTGATGAAAACCGCATGATGAAAGGGGTTCCTCAAGTTGCTTTAGGATTAGTATCTCCTTCAGGATGGATGACAAGTGATAATTTTTTGAAAGTACTTAAACATGTTGTCAAAAATACACTCTGCTCTGATACTAATAAAATTTTACTAATCATGGATAACCACGAGTCCCATCTCTCAGTGGAGGGACTTGATTACTGCAAAGAAAATGGAATTACTGTTTTGACACTACCACCTCATACTTCTAATAAGTTACAACCTTTGGACCGAACAGTGTTTGGTCCTTTCAAAAAGTTTTTTAATGATGGTGCTAATTCCTGGATGTTGTCTAATCCTGGTCAGACACTTTCTATATATGACTTGCCTGCTATTTGTTCTTCTGCTTGGGACAGAGCTGCCAATCCAGTTAATATTAAAAGTGGTTTCAAGTGTACAGGTATTTGGCCTTTTGACAGGAATATATTCGGAGAAGAAGAGTTCTTATCTTCTTACGTGACAGATAGACCAATGCCTACTACAGAACCGGAACTCGGAAAAAGAGATTTTGATAGCTTGTCCAAACCGGGGCCAAGCAAAGTTTTAGTTTCTCCGAGTCACTCAACTTCTCCAAACATCATTTCTCCAGAAATGGTTAGACCGTTTCCCAAGGCGCCAGAACGTAAAACATCAAATAGAGGCAGGCCTAAGGGCAAATGTATCATTGCCACGGATACTCCAGAAAAAGACGAAATTGCCAACAGGAAACTAAAACGATCTGTTACAAGGAAAGTAAATCCTAAAAAAAGACAGAAAGTCACTAAAAAAATTGTTGAAACATCTTCTTCTTCTTCCTCTGAAGACATAATGAGCAATGAAGAATCCTCTGACTTCATAGAGCAAGATGACGAAGTGGATACAGAAGAAACAAATATTGCAAATGGTCAGTTTATAATTGCCAGAGTTTATGGAAAAACACCAGCTACATTTCGGCACTATGTTGCAGAAATTCAGGAAAAACAGATAAAAGGATACGACGTAAAATTTTATAAAAAACATGCCACTTCTAATCGGTTTATCTCCACTGAAGAAGATGCTTTTGTTATATTTGAAGACATAAAATGTATTTTACCGAAGCCCTTGAAAGATACACGTCAAAGATATGAAAATATGATCTATTTTAATACAGATTTAGAAGATTATTCATTGCATTAATTTTTTAATATCTAAACATGTCTATTTTTTTTAAATACATTTTTATAAGTAACATATGTTGTACTGTCCGAAGTCTCCCAGTACTGTCCGAAGTCTCCCAGTTCCTAGTCCGAAGTCTCCCCGTTTCTGGGGAGACTTCGGACAAATGACCCCCTGCAATATTTTTTTATTTTTGTTGTTAATTTATTGATTTGATATATTCTGCTCTTGATTGGTTATGCCTGAACCTTGGAAGCTTAAGTTAACTACTTTAAAAGGTAAATATATCAATACACTTTTCTAATAAAAATTAATTTTTAAAAATGGTCCGAACTCTCCCCCGGTCTCCCCTACTCATTAATCCAAATTTTGAAACCATGAGTGGAAAAGGGTATTGATCGAAAAACCTATAGACTAGAAAAACTAGAGGTAGTGAACTATAATATTAAATGACAACTAAATGTCAGTAAAGAAATACAAGCAAGGATTCTTAGCGGTAATAAGTGCTTTTATACATATAAAGACTTAACGCAAAGTAAATTGTCAAATCGTAAAAAGAATCTATAAAACAGTTATTAGACCAGTAGTCAGGTATGTATGTGAAACGAGGACTTTCTCAAGCATAAGGCATCAATTGAGAATATTTGAGTGCAAAATATTAAGAAATATATTTGAACCAACCCATTGTAGTGATGGTTCTTAGAGCGCAGACATTAGTAGATTTTTAAAGTCACAAAGAATTAAATACTACAAAATCAAGTGGTAAAAGTAATCCAAAAATGGAAGCCCCAAAGAAGAAGAACCAGAGGAAGGACGTTCATCTTCCAAAATAATTCAGTTGTTAATATTAATATGTACTTCAAAATTCCTAAATACCACCATGGTTTATATAATACAAATATATTCACCAAGCTTTTTCTTTTAAAACAAGTCTTTATTCTACACGGTTGCATTGCAAATCAAAAACAGGAGTATCTTAAACATTTCGCCACCCCTCGCATTCCAAAAAATCAGGCACTGAACATACCAAAGCCTTTTTTCCTTACATCCAAAGTAGACAAAATTCTTGGACGAAATGAAACAAAACAATCTTTGTTTCACAAGAAATTCTTTCTTTCTTTGCCATTTGCAAGACATTAGTGGATCTATACATTTTCCGTGGGAGAGGAACTTTTAATCCCAAACTACATACATAAAAGGCATAAATAATAGGTTTTCTTTAATTTTGGACCATCTTGGGGAGAAATTTCCCTTTTTCACCCCCTGTTTATCCGCCCCTGTTGCCAGAACTGTTAGCGACACAATATCCAACGAAAATACAGTGTACATTAAATTATAATATATGTATAATTAACCTGCGTAATAAAAAATTGTATGTAATTGAATATATATAATAGAAATAATGTACTTACATGTAAAATCTTAGTGTCATCTGGCATTGTACTCGTTAGTTGGAAATTACATTTGTCTCCATTTGATTCCTTAGCTTCAAAATATTCTAGATTAAAAGTTGACAAAGGTTTAAGTTCCTTTTCATTTAAATAGATCAGCAGACAATTTTTATGTATAGTTGCGTAAACCCGTTTCATTTTCTCGAAACCCAACAGGAATTTCCTTTTCATATATATCCAACCAGCTTTAGTACTTTGGGAAGCTTCTCTGGCGGGGAGATCTTAAAAAATATATTATATTAGACAGTAGAATTTTAAAGTAACGGATACCAGAAAAAAAAAGAAAAATGAGCCGTTGAGGATAAGAAAGGGACAGAACGAGATAGGTCACGTATACGTAATAATAGAAACGTAATAAAACGAAGTAGAAAAAAGCACCGGGTCCAAACGAAGCATCATAACAAACTGATTTAAAAACGACGGCAAATAACTACGACAACTTCTACAAATTAGTGGTCAGAGTACGTATGGAAACAAAACAAATGCCTCAAGACTGTAAAGAAGACAGGTTAACTCCGATGTTTAATATAGGATAACCAATAAGTTGAACCAAATATAGGAGAATAATATTATTGGTTATCCTATATTAAACATCGGCGTTAACCTGTCTTCTTGTAGCTTGTAGCTTCATGTCTATTTACAAAGAGCAGGTGTACGATCAGAGGAGATCTATGTATAGTAGTAATCAATCATCTTGTATATTATAGTGGATATTTGGTGGTTTGGTCATGCTGTAAGAATGGTATACGTTCTTCGATTAATCATGTTTTATTTCTAGGAATACCTCACACGTTGTTGTACGTTATATCGTTTTCAGCGTCATCTCGCCTTTTATACATTGTTTTGAGAGAGAGAGAGAGAGAGAGAGAGAGAGAGAGAGAGAGAGAGAGAAAAGCGATAGGCTAAAGAAGCGTCTTTTTACGATGACAGGTGCTAGATGGTTTGGGCGTAGTTAAAGTATGTAGCCGACAGGTGGCGATTTGTATGAGTATTTGTATGTATGTAATGCTTGTTTGTTTCTCTGTTAGCCTCAGTGACTACTCTCCTTTCTTTCAACGTCTATTATACGCTGCCATGTTTTTTTTTGTGTGTATACGTATTTATTGCCCCTCCCCTTTCCATCGATACCTTGCACGTTGTTGTACGTTAATCCGTTTAGACGTTACAAGCTTAGTGTCGTTTTGGCAATGCCGCTTATACCTCTTACGTCACGATCCGACGAGCCGTTTTACCCCCACCACAAAAAGCGTCAAAAATGACCACAATGGATTTAACATGGGAAAATAGCAAGAACTGTCACAGACACTTTACTATGGTAATAAATCTTATAAGAGATACCGCGGACTGGCGCGGACTACTGAAAACAGGAACCTAACTAGGAATATAAAACAGAAAATCAAAGTGGCAATTAGACCCATAGTCACATATACAAACTTATACCACAGAAATAAGGATGAAGAAAATTTAAGACATTTGGGAAGAGAGAATTTTTTCTGCGAAGAATTTTGGGTTCAATAAAAAGGGAATAAGTTTTATTTACATAATAACTTTACAAGTAGTAGAAATAGACTATTTAAGAAGAGCATGTCGGATAGCCAGACTTCGCCACATCCCAAATAAAGGAATAAGAAGAAAAACAGAAAGGATTTACAATACCGTAGATACAATATAATCTAAATAGCTTTTATGGAACGGGCATGCAATGTGAATGGAAGCGAACGATGACCAAAATAGGTCTTAAATTATGTTCTAATGAGAGATAGAACTATAAATGAGGAGGGATGCACAGATCGAAAATAGCGAATACAGTTATGTTAAAAATATGAAAATTGGAAGGCGTAGGTTTTGTATGACGCTGAGTTGCAATTTATTATGTTCTATATCCACCAGAAGTATAACACAATGTCCTATACCAAAAATGAAATATTTTTCGAGATATTTCGATTTTTTTCAAAATTTTGAAAAAATTCCAGTCTACATTGAATAACGATATCTCTATTAAAATCAAGACTAGTGACGTGAAATTATAGCCAATAAACAACAACCACTTTTTCGTTAAACCAATGTGTCCATTGATATTTCATACAGGGTGAATGAAACTTAGCCGCCAACACGAACAATTTAAATCATTTTAAATTGTGCGTGTGCGTAAAATTTTTAAATTGAACACCTTGTATTTTATTTCATTTTGTGACATGTGTGAAGATGGTGTTGACCTAGAGATGAAATTAAATCGGAATTACGAACAGAAATAGAATGTTCATAAAACCTATTTTGGATTCTACGATTTGTTTGAGGACCTTGTCCGTCCCAGCTTGCGTGAAGGAGGAGTTCTGAATTAAGTAGGGACTCTTCCGTACTGCGCTGAAGACGAACGGGCGGGGGAGTCCCCAACCCCGACACGGCGCGTCCCACTGGCTGATAAGGAAATGTCCTACAGATATGTAGGTAGGTGTGAATAGGGTTTTACCAAATAAGCACCCGCGGATCAACTGAGGACATGGCATAGGGCAGCAACTATGACATTACTTCATTAAGGCTATAGCGGAATGATTTCTACTGTTGGCTTAATGACAGATGCTCACGGGCGGATATCACATAATGATTCAACCGGCCGTGATACTGTGATCATTCAGGCAAGGAGAAACCACCTGATTATATCCCCGTGACTACACCATCATGAATGTATTGCATCAGTTAGATATGCTTAGCGATCCGATATGTTTTACAAACGTAGAAACAGATGGAAGATATGTTTTAAATACGTAAAAACTAGACCAAGAGCTGAATCTGGATCCGATCATAAATTATTATGGGCTTGCTTCAAGATGAAGCTAAAAAGAATAATGCCGCACCAAAATCAAAACAGGCTGGAGATTTTAAATCTGAAAACATTTAGAGATGCATTAAAGCAAACTAGTATGTTGAACACACAAGCCAACCTAGAAGAAATGTGGAAAGGTTTCAGAAATGCCATAGAAATCTCTGTAGAAATAACTAGAACCGAAAAAAAGTATGTATAAAAAAATGTAATATTTTTCTTACCTGTAAATAATTTAATCTCACTTGACTGTGTGATAACGCTATGTCTATTGGAAAGGTTTTCTGATATATTATGTAGATCTTCTACGGACGAATAAATATCATTTGGTTTGTCATCGTCTTCGTTAGGCACTAAAACCAAAATTAAATATTTCAAATCCCGTAATGTAAAAATAATGTGCAACTTTCTACTCTAACAAAAGTATAAAGCAATGTACAAATAATATACGAATAAAAATAATTATACCTCGACTATTTGCAACTGTATTAAAATATTTTAGCCTTTTGACTGAATTGTATCATCAGATACAGCTTGCAAAGGACGACGAGGAGAGAAAAATACACTCCTGGTGGGTTGTGTCCTGTTCATCTCTGTTTTAAAGTAGATATGTGGTTTTTTTCATCTTGTACTTTTGTTGTATTGCGAATACACGTCTTTGTTTTGTACCTGTATGCGTCTACTGCTGGACATAGGTCTACCTCAGCTCTTTCCATCTGTCTCTGTCTTGTGCGGCTTGCATCCAGTAGGTCGTCAGTCCATCTAGTTGGTGGGCGTATTGCTTTTTGTCTTGGTCTCCACTCGAAAATACGTTTTGTCCATCATCATTAATCAGCCAATCGTGTCAACTTCTGGACATAGGCCTCCCTCAGTTCTTTCCAGTGTTCTCTACACTAGGCCGCTTGTAGCCAGTTTCCCGCTACACGTTTTATATCATCGGTCCATCTATTCGGTGGTGGTCCTCGGATCTTTTATAGTTTCTGGGCCTCCATTCCATAATACGTCTTGTCCACCGTCCATCTTGTGTTGTAACTCATAACTCTGAGTTTATTCGCAGATTTTTGCGTGGGTGTTAAAGTCTCTGCTCCATAAGTTTGTATAGGCAAAACACATTGGTTATAAACCTTTCGCTTGAGCCACATGGAAATTGAACTTTTTAGAATATGGCTTAATTTGCTTATTTTGATCTTGTGTCCCAGATATTTGTGTCCCAGATATAAGTGTCTGTTTGTTGTATGGTATTATTGTCAATAGTTATATTTCATTTCCACTCATTACGAGATTTGTCTGTGAAGTTTAGTTTTCTCAAAGTTTATCTTTAATCCTGTTCTTTCAGACAGACTTTTAAGCGAATGTATCATATAAACTGTATCCTGTAAGTTATCTGCGATTAATACAACATAATCTGCAAACCTTAGATGATTTAATCTTTCTCCATCTGTATTGAGGCCCAAATCTTGCCATTGAGTGTTCTTAAATATTGACTCTAGAGTTGCCGTGAACAATTTTGAATTTTTCTGTATCTTTGTGTAGAAGTATACTTGATGTAGCGTCCTCGTAGATGTTTTTGATTAGTTTCGTGTACCTGTAAACTATTCAGCTTTGATTTAAGGCTTCCAGTACTGTTTCAAACTCTACAGAATTAAAAGCATTCTCGTAATCGACAAATGCAAGAACCAGTGGTATGTTGTACTCGATGCACTTTTCTATTGGACAGAATGTAGCCGGAAAAGAATCGTACAGCGTGATAAACACAAAAGGGTAGTCGCCATGAAAAATAGGTAAGCATAGAGAGCTAGATAATGTTTCAGTGCATCGAACTAATCAATTTTTTGTTTTCAGTAATTGGGCTAAAGGTTTGCCTGAAAAACCAAGATGTGTTCATAAAAATAAGTTCTTGAAGTTCAAATTATTAACTATGAGGGATCTGAAATTTGTTCATGAAAGATTTTATGAAATTCCATCAAAACTTAAACAAGATGCTTTCATATTAAAGTGCTGTGAGGCTAAGACACCGCAGAGAAGAAAAAGACGAGCAGAAAGAGAAGTGGGCAGCACAATTTCTCAAAAACAGGTATCAATAAATTATATATTACCAAAGCAAGGCGGCGAATGTATTAGTGTATGCAAAAGAGCCTTTATGCAAATTTTGGGAGTGAAAAAAGGTAGAATTCAGGGTGTAGTAAATAGGTTTTTTTAAGGGATTAACTCCATCAGAAAAACGAGGGGGTGACCGCGTTCTAGAAAAAAATGATCAAAAAAAGTTAGCTATGAGTAATTTTATTGAGAGTTTTAAATGTCTGGAATCTCATTACTGCAGGAGTCAAATCAAGAAAAGAACTTATCTACCATGTGATCTTAATATAAGAAAGCTCTTTAAACTTTACGTCACATCAGTGGATAGCTCTCTTATGGTTAAGGAACATTATTTTCGTTCATATTTTGCAACGCACTATAATATAGGTTTTGGAACACCTATTACAGACGCATGCTCTCTTTGCTTAAGATATAAGGAAGAGATAAGGAAAGAAAAAGATGAGGAGAAAAAAAAAGAACTTAATGTTTTACAGGAATTACATAAACTTAAAGCAAAAGCATTTTACAAAATTCTTAAAACTAACAGCAGCGAGAGAGAAGTTTTTTCAATGGATTGTCAAAAAAACTTCCGAAATTACCTGATCAGAAAACTTATTTCTCTTCCTAATATAATCTTTACAATTGTTCAATTGTAAATGGTACTTCTAATATGAAACTTAACTCTGACACAGTTTCAGCTTATCTATGGGCCGATTTAGATTTGCCAAAAAACTCAAGTGTTTCATAGATTATCAAAACATAAATTTTCCAGAGATATTAAAGAAATTTTTATTTGTGTAGATGACTGTCCAGGTCAAAATAAAAATATTACAATGATCGGCATGCTTGCAAGTTCTCTCCTTAAAAAGGCGCCTAATAATATTCGCTGTATTGAACTAATATTCCCAGTTGTAAGACACAGTTTTATGCCACCAGATAGAGTTTTTGGTATTTCTGAAGGCAAAATTTAAAAAAAAAACAGAAATAATAAGGAATCCAGAGAACTATATAGCTATAATAGAGCAAAACGCCACAATCTATAAATTGGTTGAAGACTGGGACGCGTTTGATTGGAAAATCTCAGTATCAGAAGTTATTAAACCACCAGGAGCTTGGCACTTTCAATTTCAACAGTGCAAACGCTTTAGGATTTTGAAGCAAAATGATAATCCTGACAAATTTGAAGTTGGCAGAGTAAGTGACAAAAAGAAGGCCCAGAGTGTTGCCAAACAAACTATTAGAAACGCATTATGGAACTGATTGGCAATAAAATTCCGATTTGAAGTTTTGTAAGATGCCATACATTTTTCTCTAAATAATGACGAGAGTGGTCTACAACTATTGTCAATTGAGTGATGTGAAGAATTTTCTCCAGAAGAAACAACTGGGATATAAAATTTGTTGTGTTAAAAAAAGTTCATTTGTATGAGCTTACGTTATTTTCAATTTCTAACAATAATTATATAAATATAAACAAATAAATATGTTTTAAGATATAAGAATCTAGTTGCTAAATTTTGTTGCAAATCCCGCCATGTCCATAAATAAAACCAATTTTATACCGAAACTGCAGTTCAAATATTTTTTATTTTATATTCTTCTAGTAAAACATACTAACCAGATACTATTTGAACGCAATTGAGAGGCTTCGCTAAAGATACATATAAAACAGATTAAAAGATTGTTAAAAAATTTACCTGGATTATTCATGATAACATAATCTTCACTAGGCTGTAAGGGCGGTTGAATTTTAGCTATATTTTGGAGCTGTTGTTTGGATCTATTTATCAAAGATTCGGCTAATTTTTGATCTTTTGGTGATAATTTCTCCAATTTATCAGAAGACAAAAACTTACAAATATCTAAAAGAGAAAATGAAGGTTCAAAAATGATGCTAGAAAGATCATAGACGTGATAAATTTAAATTTCATATAATATTGACAAAAAGAGTAATATAAATTAATTTCAAGTGTTTATTTCTTATCTATTTCTCATCTGTTTCTTATAAGCGTACAGTATTTTTACGACTTATATGTACTATAAATTCAGAACTAAATAAAATTACTATTTCAGGATAAAAGTGTGGAAACAAAATATGCAATTCAAAGTTGCATCCAATGGTATAATCGACTCAGTAGCCCAGTCTGGTTAAAAAAAAGATGGAAACATTTTTCGCAGATATCAATCTTTTTTTGCACTAATTTATAAATTTTATTAATTTTTTATTAAGGAAATAAACTGTTATTAATGCATTTGAACATCAAGGAATTACGGTCTTTTAAATTTGTACGAAATTTCCCCCCGATCGGTCAAATAGTTTAAAAGTTATTTAATTGATTTATTCCTGAGGCTAAATATTTAATTTATTGAACTTGCTCTATTAATGATGCTAGACACATTTAGCAAATTTCATAGGATTCTTTAAGACTTAAACTATCTCAGAAGTTAAATGCATATTGCGTTTTCATCGAAATTATTTACAAAATAACCGTTTGAAAAGGGGGTATGTTCGTACCGAACTGAACAAAACCATAAGAAAACAGATAAAGGAAGATTTAAAGAAATACCAAGAAGATCGCATTAAGAAAATCATAGAGAAGAACAAAAGTTTAAAAACAATGAAGACAAATATAGGAAAAAGAAAACTAATCATGCTTAAAGCTGAGAACAATGAAGAAAGAAAGATATTACACAGACCTATACAGTTCTAAAAATGACCCACCACTATCATCTAAACAGAATCTCTCGAGGAAAATACAAAATGTTGGCTCAGAGATATTACCAGAAATATCTGAAGATGAAATCGAAAAATCCATAAACGACATGAAAAGAAATAAAGCGACCGGTGAGGACAAAATACTGGCGGAACTGCTAAAAGAAGGAGGAGATACGATAAAAAAATGCTAAAAATACTGTTCAACAAATGTCTGTTTGAAGGTAAAATACTTAAACAATGGAGAAATGCCAACACAATCTTAATACATAAGAAACGAGACCGAACAGACCTAAACAACTACCGTCCTATTTCCCTTTTGTCACAACTATATAAAACCTTCACAAGAATAATAAACAACCGACTAACCTATAAACTTGATAACTACCAACCAGTTGAACAGGCCGGATTCAGGAAAGGATACACACAATCTACATGCGCTTAAAATCTTAATTGAAAAAACCAATGAATACAACCTTCCGCTGTACTTAGCATTCGTAGATTATGAAAAGGCTTTCGACAGCATTGAACACTGGGCGGTGGAAGAGGCTCTGATCAATAGTAGCATAGATTCAAGATACCGTCAATTGATACATGATATTTACCAAAACGCAACCATGACCGTAATTCTGGACGACAAATTAATAACGGATAATATAAAAGTTAAACGAGGAGTCCGACAAGGCGATATAATTTCACCTAAACTGTTTACTTTGACCCTCGAAGATATAATAAAATCAACAGATTGGGAAAACAGAGGAATATGTATTAACGGAAAGTACCTGAATCACCTTAGATATGCGAATGATATACTCCTGATCTCCTCGGAACGACAAGAACTGGAATTAATGCTGAATGAACTTCATGAAAAATCACTGCAAAAAGGCCTAAAAATTAACTTTAACAAAACAAAAGTAATGACAAACACGGAAGACCAAGAGGCAATAAAAATACAAACAGAAAAAATAGAACGGGTAAATGAGTATATCTATCTAGGACAAGCAATCAGAGCTAACAGAGAAAATCAAACAGCCGAAATATCGAGACGAGTAAGAATGGGATGGGCAGCGTTCGGCAAACTTTCTTACGTTCTAAAAAATCAAACAATCCCTCTATACTTACGAAGCAAGGTATATAACTCCTGTATAATACCGGTGCTCACCTACAGAGCACATACATGGACATTTACACAGGCCAATTTAGATAGGATAAGGAAGGCACAACGAGCGATGGAGAGACAAATGTTGGGTATATCACTTAAAGATAGAAAACGTAACCAGTGGATCAGGACCAGAACAAAGCCATTAGACGCGATAGAACAAGCAGCAAAACTGAAATGGAAATGGGCTGGACACAATGAACGTCTCCAAGACGGACGATGGAACAATGCCATCGAAAAGTGGCGTCCATACAATGCCAAGAGATCAAGAGGCAGACCACAGATGAGGTGGAAAGATGACATCAGGAAACAAGGAGGTCCCACATGGCAGAGAACAGCTCAAGATAGGGAAAGATGGAGAGAACTAGGGGAGACCTATATCCAACAATGGAAGGATAGAGAATAGGTTCAAAAAAATTACCTACTCATGAACTTCAGATGTTTAATTAAGTATCTTTGATCCACTTACAATATAAAAAATATAAAAATTATCTGGCGCTGTAGTACCAGTGAGCTCCTAGGTTTGAATCCCAAAAAACACTACACTATATTAAGTTTTCTTATATTTTAAAATGTATAAATAAACATTTATACATTTTACACATATAAATACATATTTTTATAGATATAAATAAACATTTATATATTTTACACACATAAATACATATTTTTATACATATAGGAACATTATGTATATTTAATATATAATATTTATATTATAAATACCTACATAATCATATTCATATAAATAAACATTTTCAAATTATGTACCTATATAGGTAACTGAAACAGTTAATATGTAATCATTCATGAGATAAAATCGGTTTATTTTGTTTCCAATATAGCAAAACAAGACAAATTGTTTAACGAAAACATACTATTTTGAAAATCAAAACATCAAGTAACGACTTTATTTTGTAAAATTTATGGTTTAATTTCAACATGATATAATTTCGAAACAATATTTCAGATGAACCATTGTTTTACATAGACTATGAAGAAAATATATAAGAAGAGAATAAGAAAAAGAAGTAAATTAAGTTTAACCTACTAGTACAAAATTATTGAAAATAAAGTTCGTGAAAATTGCACTTTTTAAGATTCTATTGTAGTAAGTAGTAGTTTAATTAATATAAGAAATGACTGCTATAAATGCTTTTAATTAATACTGATGGACTAAGAACGTCATGCCTACTTAAGCTAATTGTTAAAAATTAAATCTAATTTACTAGTTACCTTGCAGCAGTGCGTTCAAATCAAAATACATTTGTTCAAAATCACTTCCCATTTTAACGCACAAAAAATTAATATCTTCTATAACAACACTAGGTAATCGTGGATTTAAACGGTAAAAGTGTCTTTTAGTCACCTAACATCTGTCTATTTTTAACTCAATCATAATGTTAAAATATTATTTTGGCCCCACAGGTCGCTAAAGCAGAGCTAACACTTTAACTCGCATAAAAACTGTATTACGAACTCTGCCATCTCTCTTCAATACCCACGCCCTGTAATTTACAGTGCTGTCTTTTTAGTGTTATTTGTATATACCGAAATATAATAAAATTATTAAAATACTTAATCTATTCGTCAGACAGACCACTGATAGCACGGCATATCCGTTCGGCCTACGGATAAATAAGTTTGTCATTATAATTAAAATTGCAACTGTTATGAGATGACAGATAATAAAAACCACAAGCTTTTGAATTCCCTCCAAATGGATTGATGATCAATATTAACTCATTACATTACTTTATTACTTTAAAATTTATTTAAAGATTTAATCAACGGAAATTCGATGCAAACAGGAATTATAATTAATCCACAACAATTTTGCCTTATTGAATAAAAATAAATAAAAATAACCAATGAACGTTAAAACACAATAAAATAAAAGTGAAGATAAATTTCGTTTGTTTTTTTTTAATGTTATCCCTTACACTCCCGAAACAATGTAAGTTGACATATAAAGTTGTTCGGTCTATTTTTTAATTTATATGGGAACAAAGAGATGTACTATTTTAGTAATATTAAGTACACACATTGTCATTTATTACAAATGTTAATAACTAGTATATTTTTATATATAAATTTAGGTTATTTATGTATAAATGGACCGAGTAACGACAGCCTGTAGAGAATTTGGAATGAAATTGAATACAAAGAAGACAAAAACGATGGTCATCATCAAGCACCGAAACAGAAGGGTAACAAGTAACAAGAACAACGTACCTTGGAAATAATCTTGATGAAACTTGGGACCACTCACTAGAGATAAGAATACGCCTGGAAAAGGCACGTACAATGTTTTACAAAATGCAAAAAGTTCTATGCAATCGCCAGCTGGGCATCTCATTGAGAACTAGAATACTTAAGTGCTATGTTTTCTCCACCTTGCTCTATGGTGTTGAAGTCTGGATAATGACAGAAGCAACACAAAAAAGAATCCAAGCATTCGAACTCTGGTGTTACCGTAAAATGCTCAGAATATCCTACATGAGCCATACGACAAATGCGGAACTCTTGCGGGGGATGAATAAAGAAAGAAAGCTTATGCTTATAATAAAAGAACGGAAAACACAATATTTTGATCACATCATAAGAAATCAAAAGTATGAACTGCTCCAACTTATAGTCGAAGGCAAAGTCAATAGCAAAAGTGGACCAGGAAGAAGACGCAACTCTTGGCTTAAAAACCTACGACAATGGACGAACATGACCTCCATAAAACTATTCAGGGCTGCTACAAATAAAATTAAATGGGCAAATGTAATGGCCAACGTCCTTAAGGATAAGGCACCGTAAGAAGAAGTATATTTTTAACACATTATTTGTTGTGAAAGTTAAAAAAATTATTTCGAATTTTGCTCATACAGAGATAACCTTTACATTTGCTGCATGAAACTCTTGACCTACTCTTACAGAATTCCAATTTGCAACATAAAGGATTTTTAGATCTGCCAAGACAGGCCAGAGATTAAAACCATCATATCTTTTGTCAGTGCAAGGTAAAGGTGACGGTCTCATTTTCTTTGGACGAGGGTCTTCATGTTCATCTTCTGTGTTCCCGTTTTCTGTATTTGGACTTTTCGTTCCACATAACAAATAATCTGCTAGTTCTAAGCGAAATGATAATAAATCTTTAATATCTTTTGATTTGTATTTGTTACTTCGGCAGTCGCGACGGTATTCCATCCAACTGTTAACAATAGTTAAATCAAATAGATGTAGGATTGCCTTCAATGTCCATTTGCGAGTTTTGAAGAAAGTTCTATAACACTCCATCATCTGATCGCAGATATCAACTCCACCCATCTTTTTGTTGTAAATTTAAATTATGTTTGGACATGGAACCTCTACACGACTAGCACTAACTTTATCCCATCGTTTGACTAAATGTCTGGGTTCTTGGCCAAAAGCCGTAGATGCCATTAAAACGGATTTATTATCTGTCCATTTAGTGATATATATTTTCTGATTACTGCTAACAACCTGCTCAGAATCGCCTCTTTTTATCTGATTATCTGTTTTAAATAAATAATAAAATAATAGTTTCTGTGCCATGTATTTGTAGCTCAGATAATTTGAGCAACAAAGGTATCATCGAAAAATATCTGTCGAAGAATACAAAGCTATTAACCGGTAACGTTTCCACCTAAAGGTCGTTCAGACACATCAGTCCCGTCACAGTCTCGGCGCCGAACCGGTCCTGTTTTTGTAAATAAAATTATGCAGTACGTTCTGCAGACAGTTGACAAAAATGAGTTTCCTAAATACTTTTCAAAGTAACACCATGGTGTTAAAACTTCAATGGGATCTGGAAGTATTGTTTTCGGGTATATTTTCATTTTTAAATGGATTAGTTCTACCCCAATTTAGCATTGATGATTTTTGGAGATTTTGTACAGTACTGGGAACTGCGGAATCATTTTCGTCTCCACTTTCATCAGATTTATCACTAAATAGGTAAACATACACAATTTGTGACGACTATCCATCAAAATAAATATTTTGAAACAAATAAAAATGTGTACTTATGTCTAGAAGCCATATTAACACACTTGACAATAAGTCGTTACCATTCACTGAACAATATCATACGGATCTAAGCAAATTTTCGGTAATCCCCGCGACAATATGATAGACACGTGCACCCACTATCGTGTCGTAGAGGAGCAACTGGTCCAAAATGTCCTAATGTCACTTATAAATAAGACTCTCACAATTGTGTATGGAGCGTAAAGGATATAACGGCAGTTTGCTATATCATGGTTCCTAGCCTTTTCACAGTACTTATTTGTACAGTATATTATGTCCAACGTCTAATATTTTTATTTGAGCTCGTGTTCTTTCTAGTTTTACAGCGTTTTCAAGTAGGCTTGTTGTTTTGGTTTTGCTCCATTTATTTTTTTCTGTCTTTCAATAATAAGTTGTGTCCTTATATTAGAACAGGCATGAAAAATACATTGAATATCTCCGTTCTTATATCTCGTATTGTTTGTTTTATTTTGATAGGCATACGCCTAAGATTGAAGCCTGAATGGAATGATCATCTACAACCAGGATCAACTGTAATGATGACACAGAAAGGGAGCATAACAAATGAGGCGTTTATTTCATGGCTAGGACATTTTGTAAAGTATATGAATACATGACCTACACTCCTGATATTCGATAGTGCAAAATCGCATCTGGACATAAGTAATGTTAAAGCTGCAGAAAATTATGGTGTTACTTTATTTTGTCTTCCACGTAACACCACGTATGAACTGTAGCCTATGGAGTCTTCAAAAGTTATGGGTCTTTTTGGGATCAGGAGGTTTTAAATTTTTTGATAACTCAACCTGGGAAAAATTTTAACCAAAATGCGATTTGGTGAAATACTTAGTAAAGTTTGGTTGGACGTCGACGATAATAACGTAAATAAGTCATCAACTACTACAGTTGATGAAAACGGTCCCTGCACAAGTGGAACAAGTAATAAAAAAATTAACAAAACGTCTTCGTTTATATAGCGATTCGTCTCATTCTGAATCAGATTTTAGTGTTCATGATAGTACATCTGATTATATAAACAGCGAAGGTGAAAATATTTTACCATTCACTCCCGAAAAAGTTCCAGAACCAGACACTTCTTTTAGTTTCTAAAAGTACTTCTGTTTAAAGTATGTTTTAGCCTATATGATATGGTCTGATCCAAGCCCGGACTGCCTCGCTGGCCCACCGGCTCGCGTGCCTGTGCGCCTTTGTAGGCATCTATCCGTAAAAAAATTGAACACAGAAAATTTATCGAAAAGATGATGCAGCTACCGTTTCTCTAGTTGCGTCCGGTTTCGCTTGATTCGTTGGTGCAAAGATCAATTGAATATTATGGTCTATTTGCCAATTACAACTGATATCACATATAATCAAATGTCAGCTCACATAGCCCGAAAATGGCACTCAGGCTTTTCTACGATTTCTGGCGCTGTTATTATCAATATCTGTTATATAAGAGTGTTTTATCCCACAATAATTGGACTAAAATATACATTTGCAGTTTTCTGCGCTGGCTAACTTCATTATAAGTAAGTGCGCCAAATATTGCCATGCTCCTAATATTTCCACTCCCCATAAATTTATTAATTTGTCCCTTCACGGCAAAGCAGCTTGTATTTCGTGCGATTTGTTTATAAAAACGTGGGAAAACTGTAATGATTGTTATAAGCTAGCTAATACCGACTATAGAAGGGTGAGAACGTTATCAGGCAGGTACATTCAAGTACTTTATTAATCCATATTGTGTGTAATTAATATAAAAGAGAATAAAACATAAATCGCCACTTTTGTTTCGCAATAGTAATGATCCTAATATTGCCATGGCAATATTTGGAACCTAACATGAAAATTTACTTTTTATTAATAAAAGCTTTCTTTTAAACAGAATGCCGAATAGAAAGAGAACCCTGTGGTCTGAGACGAATCTCGTTGCAGCGTTAGAAGGAATAAGAGCTGGAAGCAGTATAAGCCAAGCTTCATCACGATATGAAATACCTCGAACAACACTTAGACTACATTATCGCAGCCAAAATTCGGTTAAACGACTTAGAAGGAAAAGTTTTTCAAGTTTTGAACAAGAAAGAGATCTAGTTCGCAGAATTCATAAACTATGCCAATAACTAGTAAAATAGTAAGAAGAAGTGTATTTTCGTATGCGATGATAATGAACATTCCTAATCCTTTTTCTGATACATCTAAATTAGCAGGAAGGAAATGGCTGAAATTATTCTTTGCAAGACATACCGATGTGGCTAGAAGGAAGCCTCAGCAAATGAATCCAGCAAGAGCACAGAAAATGAATCCATTTATTGTAAAGGATTATTTTAAGAAATTGGACGAAGTACTCATTAAATTGGAATTGTTTGA